ATTTAAGTGAAATTAGGAGTGTATGTGGAGTTGAGAGGGTATCCCTGAGGCTTCCTAAAACTTAGTGCAGTGCCATGGCTGAAAATTTTCTCATAACAATAAAGAGCTGGACTGAGAAAATCTAAGCTGGGGAAATCAGCACTGATGCTCAGGAGTTGTTTCCTCACCGTTCTCTGGATACTGCTCAGTACAAATACAGTAGGATAAGAGGAGAGAACACCACAGTGAATCCCAGGGGCCCCTTTCATCTCTAATGGCGAGTCCTGCTGTTACAGTTTTGTGGTGAAATTTCCTTCTGGGTGGTAATGCTGGCATTCACTCCAGTGCTGTGGGAGCAGCACTCACTGTCTTCCCTTGTGATTTTTAGGCACTGAATGTTGAAGAACCTGATCCACAAAGAGTCAAGGCTGGTGTCAATGCCTCCAAGCTAGGTCCCGTGCATGTCACAGAGAAGGCTGGAAACCCGCAGAAGTTTTCCTCTCCACAAGTCTCAAAAGTACCTCCCATGAGCAAAGACTCTGCAACACTTGAATCTCTGCCAAAAAAGGACAGTGGAGAAGATCTGGACACTAAAGACAGTTCAGGAGCCCCTGTACCAAGTGTAACTGTGTCTGGCCTTGATGAAGCAGAGGGCAAGCAAAATGCAGAGCATGGCGCACCATCAGCATTGCCCAGCGGAGCAGTGGCCATGCCCACACTGCCTGTCCTGCAGGAAATGAGGGTGGCACCCAGTATCACTTCACTGGGGTCCCTGCCTTCTTCCTGCTTTGAATTAAGTAGCAGCAATCTGGACATTCATAAGTAGGTGTTCTTCCAGCTGAATTGTTCTTCTCTTGGGAAAGTTTAGGTGTTACTGGTACATAGAGGTGAATTTAAGGCTGCTAAATCATTTGGGGTGCTGGGTCTCAAGTCACCTTACAAAGAATTGACCTAGGTATTCCAGTCAACAGCAAAGTAAATTACAGGGCACTGTCAGAGCAGGTATAAAAGGGAAGCATTCACTCTGTGGCTCTCCTAAGGGTGCTGCATGTATTGGCTTTATATTGTTGAAGAGCTTCTCAACATTCATTTAGCAACAGGATATTCAAAGTCTGAACATCCTACTTTTGTAATAACCAAAACTCTTGATAGGCACCTGTGGCTGCTTAAAGCTCTGAAAATGTTTATCCAACACATTTTAAAACTGATAATGCTGTGAACAAGTTTTTGTGGATAGGTGTGCTTGTATGTGTGTGTCCTTTCCACAGTGCTCAGTGTGAGGCTGCTCTGTCAGGCAGGATGGAGAGAAGGATTTGTCCCTCGTGGGGCACAGAATGGAGCTTGTGGAATCCTTAATCAACTACAAAGATCCAGCTCACTTAAGACAGCATCAGAGTAGTTATAAACCTGAACATAAAACTCAACTCCAGCTGCAATTTGATGAATTGGTGACTGGTAAATTTTCTAGCTCTGAATAGGGCTTAATTTATAAACTATTTATAGACCTTTTTTAAACAATGTTTTGGATTTTGAGCCACTTTAATGACATGTAGAATGGACTATGAAAAAGGTCCCATTTTGCATATACAGACATTCTTGATGGAATGTGTGACACACTAACCCGTACTTTTATGCTCCATCTACAGTGGGCCACACAGAGGCTCTTTTGGCAGTGTGTGTTGTGGTATGAAATCAGGTACCTGCAGAGAAGGTAGGGATGGGGCTTCTCTGGAACCTCTGTGATCCAGCTGCTTCCTAGACAGCAAACATTAGGATGCCAGGGAGGAAGATGCTGCCCTGAAAGCTGGTTTTAGTCTGCTTGTGTGCTGCTCAATGGCTGTGTTTAAAAGCCTTGTGCAATGTCTTGCAGCGGGACTGAGATGCCTCTGGGGGAGATCCAGCTGACCGTGCGTTACGCTTCCATCCGGCAGAGCCTCGTCGTGCTGGTCAACGGCTGCAGGTAAAGCTCCTGATGGCTCACAGAGGAAAGAGCTCTCTGAGCTCTGTCAGTCACCCAGCAAAGCTGGAGCAGAGCCACATGCAGCGGGAGATGCCTTAGCGCTGGCTGGCTTCCCACTGTGCAGCCTCTCTGTGCCCAGCTCCGGTCAGGGAGAGAACCCAGCAAGTTGTGCTCACTGCAGCAGAGATGCTTCAACTGTCATCCACCCAGAATTTCCTCTGGACACCACTGACAACTGGTGTGTGTCTTGGGGTGTTAGGATAGGCATCATGACAAGGATTGAATACGTAATTGTTACTTTAGGAACCCCAGTAAGTGGCTACACCGTCAGGAGTAAAGATTTTAACTAAACAATCCTAAAGTTTTATTTGCTCGTGTTCCAGCTCCTGGGATGAATATTTTTGGCCTGTGCAGGGTTGGTCTGATACCAAGAGAGAGAAGTTATTTAAACACACAGTGAGAGAACCTGCCTCACTTGTCTGTTTTTCTTTTAACAGAAACTTGGTACCCTCTTCCAATCGTGGAGTCGATCCATATGTTCGTATATACCTGCTTCCAGACAGAAGATGGACAAGCAGGAAGAAGACTTCTGTTAAGAAAAAAACCCTGAACCCCCAATATGATGAGAAGTAAGAAAATGTAAATTATGATTGTGGGTGGAATAGTTATGATCTCTGTGTAATGGCAGGGTTTCCTAAGGTGTGCTGCTGTAGCTCCTAAAGACTCTCTTGTGGACATTTCCAGCTTTTCTGAAACAGATGGCACTTGGACTGTGATACTTGGGGCTGGCCTTGCTCTGCCTGTGGTGTTGCAAGTCCCCCAGAAGAAGGGTACAGCTTCTTCCCTGCCCCTTCCCTGCTCCCAGGCTGCATTTGCTTCTCTGCAAACTGACATTCTCCCTCTGTGTTTAACTCCCTGTCATGGCAGAGGCAATCTGCCCGTTCAGGTACCTCCCAGAGCCTACTGCTCTGTTCACACTGCTTTGCCTGATGCTTTTTCTGACATCTTTCCAAAGGTCCAAGGCAGAAGTACAGAGCCTTTTGAGACTGGACCACCCTTAGGGCACACAGGTGGATGTTGTCATCAAGGCCTGGTGGGAGCAGAGTAAAATGCTCCCTCCTCTTTGCTGGCAGTGTCACAGCTCTGCCACTGAAACTGAATGTGTTTTTCATAAATCCAAACACAGTAACACTTAGAAGTAGAGCTCTTTTGAGAGAGAAGGTATGGATATATGTGAATCTTGGTTGATCCTTGGTGGCTTATATTTTTCCTGTGTCATGTCCTTTCTCTGTAAGTCAGAAATTGAGAAAAGATTTTGAAATATTCATTCTTAACACTCAAAACACCAAAACTGAGGATTCTGCTTATGTCTGTTCATAAGTAACTGCACTGATTTAGTGCCATCCCAGCAGTTGGGAAGAACATCTCCTTTTCCTCATCCTCAGTACTGACGAATTCTGTACATCCTCAATTAAATATAATGCTTAGCTCCAAAACACGTTACCTGTTTCACAGCTCTGACTTGAGGAAAAGCTATTCAGGTGGGCAGAACTGGAGTGATTTAGCATGGACAAAACTCACTTGACATTAGCCATGTGTGCCAGAGGCTTGAGTCAGAGCCATTAAGAATTTAATTGCCATAAGTTTCAGCCTTTGCCTGTTCTTGGTGTGGTGCAAGGCTGCTCTGTGAACTTGGGGGTTTGGCTCATGCCTATTTCCTCTTGAGTAATGAACATTGCATGGAAAACACGCTGATCTTCCATGGAGGGGGGAAAATGATGTTAAATAGCATTTCATCATGGATGCATGTTTTCCTCCTTCCCCTGGCACAGTGGACAGTCTGAACACAGTGTTGTCATCTTTCATGAGGCCTGGAAAAGATTCCCTGCAATGTGGTAAAATCTCACTCTAGAATTGCCTTTTCTTTGTGTTCCTTCCCTGTTAAAGTCATGGCCATTGATGCTGTATTCTGTCACTATATTGTGCCCACTGGTGCTCACAGGATTTTAATTTTTGCCTTAAGTTTCTTCTTGTTAAACTTTATTTAAAGGTTTGAATTTTTTGAATCTTTGGAAAATGTCAAGAAAAGGACACTGGACATTGCAGTGAAAAACAGCAGGCCATTCATTTCACAGGAGAGGAAGGAGCTGGGGAAAGTAAGTTTAAAGAATCTCCACTACAGATATAACAGAGCTGAACACTCCGGACTACTCCTGAAATCCTGAAATGTGGTTCCAGTACCTAATTCTCAGTAATAGGACTGGCAATCTGGAAACAGTATTTTCTGCTATATTTTAATCTCAAATGAGGCTGTATCCGTGTGGGAGCTGTGTGGTCTCATTTCAGAAGGGTGCTCCTGAAGTAAGCCCTGGTCCCTGGGCCCTGGTGCTGCCCGTGTGGGGAACGGCTCCAAGAGCACATGGAGCTGAGAAAGGCTTTGGGACTAAATCCCACAATTTGCCAAAACTGCTTTGAGCTTTCTGTGAACAATTCTGATTCTGTGAAAAGTAAACCACAATTGCTTCTTCAGTGATAGATAAATTTCCAAGTAGTGCTATAGGAAATGGAGCTGCTTCATGCCTAGACCACCCTGGGAATGTGGGAAGCTCCATTTTGCCTCAAGCCTGAGCTGCAGCCCCACAGCTGGAAAGTGGGTCTGACTTGGGAGGGGTGATAGCTTAGTTAATCAATTTATATGCTGAATAACCTACAAACAAACAAAATTTGCTTTTTAAAGGTGCGCATTGACTTGTCCCAGGAGGATTTAATAAAAGGTTTTGCCCAATGGTAAGTACTCATCTCCATACTTCCAAACCCTGCCCATTGCTTTGCTGTGGGAGTGAGTGCTGGTAACCAGGCTGTGTTTGGGTGAGCAAGAATATCTGACCTGCAAAGGCAGGACTAACTTGAGCTAATCTCGTAGTTCTATCTAAATTGTGTGTTAATCCATTGCCTGTGCAGTGCCTGCCCTGTGAGACAGCTTTAATGAGATGCCTGTGTCAATTATAGTCTTCAGCATATTTTAAGTTGCCATAAAAGCCACAGGGGTTTATAAGCCACATAAGGAAAAGAATTTTGTTTATTAAAGTAACCTTGCAACAAATTTTAACTTGAATAAAGATCTTAACTAAATACTCTGATCAGCAATATATATGCATGATAAAACTTTAATTACAAAGCATTTATAGAAACTATTATAATAAGCCACTTAGAGTTTTGCTTGTACGTTCATTGTGATTCTGAGGTTTCTATGTTCCTGGTCTGAGGCAGAACAGAGAACCAGGCTTGGGTGTTTTTTTCACTTCTGTGTCTTTAGGAAATGGCAGGAGTTCTTTCTTCTTTCTCCTTCAGTGGAGCCTGAGGAATGTAGTGTGGGTAGTCCAGGAGCTTGCCATCTGCACAGGCAGTGAGCCAATATTCCAACAGGAAAACCACATTTCCCTGGCCAGCTTGTGTGTGTGTGTCAGGGCAATTAGGGGAAGAGGCAAAAAGGATGCACCCAAAGTTTCTGGTGAAGAGCTGAAGTTTGAGGCCATCTCTGGAGCCTCCTTTGCTGTGCTGCCTGTGAAGCAGAAGCAATAAAGCAGCCCAAATTTTCTCTACTGTGCCAGCTAAAACTGTTAAGAAAGTTTTCAACTTCAGTAATTATTTATTGTGTCTGTCTTGCAGGTATGAACTGACAAGGAGCAAACGCAAGAAAACTTGATTTCTTCTCATGTACATAAGTTACTAATTTTTCAACTTCATATGGATGTACATATCTCTTGTAATTAACATATTTTGCACAGTTGTTGCAAATTTGAAGCAGGCTCCAGCTCAGGACATGCAAATTTAATGATCCTATTTGGATCATTAGTTCTATTAGTTCCTATTTGAGGATTAGTTCTCACTGAAGTTAAACATAATTTCCTCCACATAGGGAATAATTTGTCCTTAAATAATAAGTCCTTTATTTTTGCTATTTCTGGCAAATCCCCCTTCAAAGGACCTCTAAGTGTGAAATCTCTCTTAAAGGAGGGTTGTACCTGGGGAGATTTTAGACTGCCAGCCAAGTGTCCTTTGCTTGGCAGTCTGATGGCCCTAGGATCTTGTTCATGTTGTTTTAACATGGAAGTGGTGTACTTTTAAAAGAATACATTTTGAAACAGTATTCTTCAGCTGTAGGGCTACCGAAGCTTTTAAAAGAGAAACTCTTTAAGAGCTATTTTTGTTTGAGAAAAGAAGTTGGTAGTCCACTGTTCAGAAGTACCTTAGCTGACTGTGGCTGCAGGTATGTAAATAATGAGCTTCCAAAGCAGGGAGATGAACTTACCAAGATGTCATTAAGGTTTTAGTTTGTGATGCCTTAACTGGTTTTGTCCTTTGTTACAGTACATTTCAAAATCTTGTAAACCCAATTCTGTCTGAGGAACAGCAAAGTTTTGTAAACTAAGCCTTAATAATATTGAGGCAAAATATTTTTGGAAGCTTGGTGTACTTGTTTCTGTACAATAAACTTCTAATTGTCTTGCATAAGAGACTTGATCTAATCCTTTCAAAAACTGACTTATGAAATACAATGATGGTAACTTCAAACCATCGCCTGAAACAAATTTCAAGTATTTTTGGCCTAGATTACATTAATTCAGTCTGCCTCAGTCCATAATCAGAGAGAATACTCACTGAGTAACAATGTGTTCCCATCCCAAACTGATCTGGAAGTGTGAACAACATTTTAAAAGAGGCTCTCCAGAAAACCAAGATTGGGCATTTGTGTAAGTGTGATGGCTATGGCAGTAAGGGCATCTTTAGCTCATACTTACTCTGTCAGCAATATTAAAAATGGTTAGAATTTACCTGGTGTTGTGCTAACAGGGTATATTGGTTCTCTCTCTGGGATTGAGTAGACCACTTGACAGCAGTTGAAGTATTTCTTAAATTGACCAAGAATTAAAAAAAAAAAAAAAAAAAGCAACAACTTTTATTTCTGTAAAAAAAATCTGGAATTGTTGCTTAGGAGGTAGCTGCAATGTCATGTGCACCAACAGGTACATTCACAGGTAAGAGAAATCTTGCTCAGGAAGAGCAGAGTCACCCATAACCAGCTCCCCATTTCAGGTTTTGCACTGCAGGTAAAATATCATCCATGTTACTGATCTCTGCAACAGAATGGAAAGCAAAAGGGTTAGGCTTATGAACCTAGAATACCTTTGAGTTCAACCAAAATTCTAACTTAAACTCATGGTTAATTAAATAAACTCCTCATACCTCTTAATGCTTTTGGAAAAAAATAAATTTTGTTATAAGTAATATGTCTAAGTAAATGCAAACCCATGTTAAATGAAAATAAAGTGTTTTGGTCACTTCCTGAGAAGAGGTGAAAAGGAGAGTGAGGCAAAAGGTAGCACCTTCCCTCACATCCTTCTCCTGTTTTAGCACAGCAGGAATAAATAAAACACTTGTAAACTGTTACAGTTATATGTGAGGAAGTGTTGGCATGAAGATAATTACTGGTGCAAATATTACTCACCTAGAAGACACAGCAAGTCTTGAATGAGAGCTTGAAAGGGTGGAAAGAAGCACTCATGTTCTTCAAGCTTATTGATGATACTGGAATGGAAAGTGAGACAATCAGGTAAGAGGTGCAAGGACATGGCAAGTTCATCCCCTTGGCCATTTTGTTGTTCTGTGCCATGACTTTGTGAAAATTCTGCTACTTACTATATAAAACCATGGACACCAATGTTCTGTTCTCCAGATCTGAACCCTGCAGCCAACAGGGGAGCTGTCACAAGGATCTCCGATTTCACCACTAATGCTGTATACACATCTTCTTTCCCCCTCACATGGCTCCAGGTAGTCTGGGGCCTGGAACATTTGTCTGTGTATGCTAAGTATACTACCTGGGGGTGGCTGGTACAACTGCCTTGGAGGTAGAGCAAGAAGTGCTTTATAACCAACTGTTCTCCAGTTAAAACTGAGAAATGGGTGCAGAAAGGCTGAGGGAGTGAGTATTGTCAACTCAGCACGTGTCAGGCTTGCTGCCTGCTCCCTTTTTAGTTTGTCTGTAAAGCACATGCTGAATGCAAGCCCTTAGGGTCTGCTACCACCTAGATGTGGCTGTCATCTGTTGAAAGTATAACTGGATTTGTCCAGTTTCTAAAATATTTGTAGGCAGCTTGAGACAAACCGTGCCTTGGCAACTAGAACACTTCAATATTACATCTGAGACTTGCATCACTTTCTCCTCCCCACCCAGGTGCAGGATTTGTCTGCTGATGAAACATGTATCCCATTAAGGCTTGTTTGATCACATTATCCATGCAAACCAGAGAGTGTTTTGGAACCTTCTGGCCTCAATTTTTCCCTCTGTCAGCTTTATCTTTTTGACAGGATACAAGATTTGTTTCAAGCAGGACAGCAATAACTAACACCTGTGTTGTCACAGCTCACTGACTTTGTGACAAATGATGGAAGTTTCTTTCAGCATCAGTTTTTGCCAGTTCTCAATTACATTTGATGTTTGCAGAATGGTCAGCAGTGGAACAGCCCCACATACCTGTGGATGTCTTGGGTGCCCAGAAGCTGCTGTACCTGCTCAGTCACGTTCTTATTAATGATGTCACACAGTTTCCCAACAGTATCCACAACCACAGTGGGTGGAGCTGAACTGTCTGTGGAAAAACAAACACCTCATGATTCTCTTAACAGTAATAACAGAGAAGTATTTTAGACACAGTTGAATTCTTGGAGGTCCATAGATTTTATTTAGTTTTCATAGATCTAGGCATATACATTCCATCATTCAAAGAAAACAAATAAACAAATGGTCAGAAATAAACAAATGTTAGCTATGAATGGGGATTCTCTCACTAATCCTTTAGTGGCTAAAAAACTTTGGCAGAGCTGTATGTTCACAGCAAAGAGGGTACTAAAGTGCACTTTTACAATGTCAGTGGAAATCAGTCAATTGAAATGATATATATAGAAAAGGGGTTATTCATTAGGTTCTTGGGACACAGCAGACACACTAGAGGGGCTAGGCCAATAAGGAACCTGCTTAACAAACACTTTATTAACAACCAGAACTTGTTTTGATACTGAATTTGAACCTGTCTGTAGAGCTGTGACTGAAAGTAGCAGCCTCCTTGTTCTTTTCTCCTTAAATTTCAGAAGAACTAGGCTTGGACAAGGCATCTTCTGAACTGCAGTTATTAGAGGGAGGTTCCTCCCATACTGGCTGCAGGCAGAAACACTGCTCCCCTCCTTGAATGAGGCTCAGCAGCCCAGGGGCTCTGGGGCTGGACATCCTACAGCCCAGCCCAACCTTTTAACCCAGGAGCAGCAGCAGCTGCTGTTCTACAGAAGGTCCCACCTGAAGGGAAATAACCAACTATACCTCCGAGTACTGACAGTTTTTGACACTCAACAACTTGTTTTGGTTTTTAAGTTTAGCAGCATAAGATGGACCTTTCTGAAGACTGGACCCAATTACACTTGAATTAATTACTGAGTAGAAATCTACATTCGAGGCTGAGTTATTTTCTTCCTTAAACTTGTTATCTTTAAGTGGAGAATGAACAACAATTATGAAGTCAGCTCACCAAAAAAAAGCTTTGTGGAAAAAAAAAATCTACTACCCTGTTATTCTCTTCTTCTGCCTCTCTGCTATTCCTCAGCAACTGCTAAAGGCTTACAAATAATGGGGATTTGCTATTTGAACTGCAAATTGACAGGAACGTGTTTTTATCTTCCCAGTGAAGGAAACAACTAGTTAATTCATTTCTCAACAGCTCAACATTATTTTCTATGAGGAGGCCAGCTTTTCGCCTGTCTCCTTTTTTTGGAATGGTGTGAACAAGCAGCAGGTGGTTAAGTCTTTACCTAGTTCTAGGAGCTCATGGAGGTTCCTCATGGCATTGGTCATTTCCCCCAGCTTTGTGTACACCTCGTTCATCCGTGGATAAACACCATTCACAGAATTCACATCAAACAACTTCTGGAAGTGAGAGACTATGGCAGACAGGGTTTGCAAGGACTGTTTCTGGTTGCTCTGGAGCAAGCAAGAAGAACTTATCAGTGGTACTGCTTAACAAGTCAAGGGTGCTCTTACATGAAACATTCTTAAAACCAGTCTGAAGAAAAGGTGTAACTTCCCTTATGAAATCTCAGCCTTTCAAATATTTTTAAATCTGAAGACACAGTTTCAATAGTTTTCAGGCACAAACATACACCAAATTCAAAACACTCTTTTGAAAGCTTCCTTCTCTGTTGCTGTATTCTCAGCCCTGAGAGACAGAACAGGGTAATTCCTGACACTACAGGGCAATGCAAATTCACTGCTGGTCAAGTACCTTTGATTAAAGCAATCTTCCCCAAGGTGAATTTATCCATTATGTTAAAACAGTCTTTGACTACTGAATGTCTTCAAACAGGTATTTCTTAAATGCTGCAAGGCTTGCAAATGCACCAATTGAATCACTGCGTGAAGAATGCATTTAAGAATTCCACAGTAACTTGTGATTACAAACCTCTGGTAAAAATTACCTTTTCCTTATGTTCTAATTCTTCCAAAACTGCATCTACTATCAACTGGAGGTCTTCAACTCGTATGGATTCTTTGTTGTCCTGTGGATCTTTAGTGTTCCAAGGCAGCAATTCCAGAGACAGTTTTCTCAAGGACCTATGCAAATCCTTTTAAAAGAAAGGAGGAGAGACAACTTATATTAGAAACTGCTTAAGTTGTTTTTATTATAGAAACAGGTGTTTTTCTGTCTCTCATATGCAGAAAACATTCCAGAGCTGGAGAGGTTAAGGTTTTAATTTTCATGAATTTAAGGATAGTGTCTTGCTGACATTCTTTGATTTGAAAAGAACAGAGTAAAAAATACTACATTGGCTATGTATTACAGTTTCAGTGACATAGAAAGAATTCGTCACAAAGAGTTTGGCTTTAAACAAAACTATTTCACTTGCATTTGGATCAAAAAGTCACCGTTCTGTTCTGGTCAGACAAAAGGAAAGAAAGAATGCACCATGATTTATGTGTGAAGCCGAGACTCTAAAGCTTAAGTTTCTTCTCAGGGACTCAGTTAATAAAATGAAATAAAAGATTTACACAGAGAAGTGGTACATACTTCATACAGACAGCAGATTATTTGTAAAATTTAACACCAGGTTAGGCAATAACAAAAGCTACACACAGAACCCCCAACAACCACACATATGGAGGGATGGAGGAGAAGAGAGCAGATGAAAAGAAGACCAAGAAACAAAGTACAACAACGTGTTGTTACCTTTAGAGCTATGAGCTGATCTGCCCACATTTCTATAGTGAGTGGAAGGTGCTCAAATCCACATCCCTGTCCATGCTCTTTAATGTAATTTTGCACTTTGCTGGGCCGGAATATTAATGGAGGAGCTCTTGGGCTTCGCAAAATAGAATCAATATGGGACAAAACCTTCAAGAAAAAATAACAAATGTTATTGCTCAAATATGTATGATGTTTTGTAATAAAATCTCTCTCTATCACAGTCATGATTCCCTAAAATTAAGTCATAAATAGCTCCAATATTACTATTGATGAATTTTAAACATGCATTCAACATGCAATAGACTCAAAGATTTCAACATGTACTAGCTAGAAGGTAAATGAAAGTAATGCAAGTATATACTTCCCTCTGAGGGATAGTTAACATTTATCCACTCGAGGCATTGTAAATTCCATAATTTACAGTTTGCTAAGTTTTATTGTATTTAGGCTTTTTAATTACAAGAAAAATAAAATCCACTATCACCAAGTATCTTGAAATCCCCCATCCTGAACAGACTTCAGCTAAGTAATATTTACCAGCCTAGTGTCTGCTGCCTTTCTGTTTTCAGGTAGTTTACACTGAGAACAAGAAGCAGCCTACACTGACTGCCAAATCCAGAACATGACTCATATTGCACAGAGGATTTGATAGGCATTCTTAGCCTCAGACCAGCACACTCCAGTCGACACAGCTAAATAGAACATGTATAATATTTCATTGTAACACTGCTAGAAACATGCAGAACAGACACAATTTGGGTACCTGCAAGTATTGCTGGCAATCTGCCTGCAGCTGATCCACTCTTGCAGCTGTCCCAGAGTCTTTCTTTTCTTCGTTTTCCCCAGTCCTGTTCCCTGAAAATCTGCACAAAAATACACACAGTGGGTCACACAAGCAGCCTTAGCAGATGCTACCTTCTAACTTGATGGAAGAACCACGTGTGTAGCACTTAAACTCAGACATACAGTAAATACCCATGTTATGATGCTGGGCAATAGAACTCCATCAGACCCAAGAAACACAGATTGACAACACAATACCTAATGCAAATATCATTAATTTATCTCAAGTCTTCAGGCTGAGGCTATGCCAGACTGCTTGCTGATTTAGAAGGGACACCACCAGTTTTTCTGTTGCCAGAGTTCTACTATGGCTGAAGACCTAAAACCCAGAATTTTACTCTAAAGGCTCAAATTCCAAGCTCAGTTGTTATCTCCTTCTGCTGGAACATCTTTCCTGGCTTATTATACAAAGTTCACTACTGCTTTTCATCTAAATGGTACCTACTGCACAAGAGAGAGAATAGACAATTTAAATATACACAAAATGTCTATTTATTTTTAAGTTTAAGGGATGTCTGTTTCAGGCTATAAAATATTTAGCATTCAGTATACACATGGAAAAATGACTAAGTGAAATTACAGATAAAAACACTTTGTTAGTACTAGAACTTTTATATCTTCTATATGTATTTTCTTAGCAATATTTCAGAAAAAAACAGTCAGTTTCTAAGAATAATATGGTCATAACTTCAGTAGCTGCAACATTTTGCCAACTCACACATTCACATTTATAATCCATAATGAAAACAATTCTGCTTCCTTTACAGCTTATGGAAGCAGCATAATGGAATCTGGAATAATATGGAAGCAACTACAGATGGCCCTATACATACTGCCAGCAAAAGAATTCAAATCAAATCCAGAAGACAAAATGAAATAAAAACCCCACACTGCTGTGCCCCAATTTGGAGACCCTGCCATCATTTCAGAAATAGAGGGCTTCAGAGGTCCAGCAGCACTTGCTGCCCATAGCCAGACTCCAAAGAATGCTGATAAGGCACATGCTCTATAAGCTGCTCTCTACATGACAGGTTGCAGAGTAACCTTGCCTTCAGAAGTCCAGAGGATTCATGGAAGTCCCTGAAAGAATATACTTACTGGATAGTTTTCTTTAAAGCTTTCTGTAGTTTCTTCACTTGGTGCTTGTAAAATTTTAATTCCTGTGCAGTTGGCCTGCTAGACAGAAAAAGTACCATGTTATATGTCTTGCATTGGAAGGTATCTATAAAATTTATCCAAGCAAAAAAGCTTTGTCAGTGCCAAAAAATCATTCTGGAAATTAAATTCTGCTACATTTCTACGTGACAACAGCAATAAAGAGCAAACTAACCATTAGCAGCTGCTATTAACAGTGTAGGGAGAAGAGTGTGGCTGTTGCTGCCATATCTCATTTCTTTGATCACAGACTTCACACTTTACTTTTACAATTGCTGGTGCCTTGTAAAGCAAAGTCTACTGAAATGGCCTTACAAAGGATGATATTTATCCTTGCTCACCTTATTTCCAAGTTTTTCTTGAGATTTTTATTTTCAAACAAAAGCTGTTCATTCTTGGCTTTTGTTTCAGTAAGTTGCTTCTGGAAAGACTGAAACATAGACTGGGTTATTGCTCCTATTGATCTCATTTCAAAAATGAACAAGCTTCAACAATTTAAAGCATGTGCGTGTTAAGAAGGGTTCCCAATTGCCTGGACAGCAAAACAGCATGGATGGGAACTCAGATGACTGAGGCCAAGAGCCTGGTGCGTTAGACCCCAGGTGGAGCACTGTGACTAAAGATCTCTACAATCCTCAGCAGACTCACAACATTTTGCTGAATCTTTGTACAGGGACAGGGAACTCTGCCCACAGAGGCTCCAAGTTCAGAAGACGTGACAAGAACAAGGGGCAGAAATCAAACATGTTTATGTTTCGATGTGGTTCTTGAAGGGTTACCATTGAGAGATCTGCACTGACTTGTTCTTGGAAGTTCCATACCATGAGCAGTGCTTTGTAATTAGGAGTAGCATCTAGATTTAAGAAATCTTCCTTGTTTTTCACTTCTCTCTGCACTTCGTCTTCATCTTTTTTATATTGCCTATTGGGAAAAATAAATTGGTTCAGCTTACTGCAATTCAATTAGCTCAAAAATTTAAGTTGGTTTAGTTAGCAATTATGTATGATAATGTTTCCATGAACTACCAAGTAAATAGAATAGAAATTCTGCCCTAAGATTCATGCTCTAATTTCTGGGAAAGCTTATGCTAATGAAATGCACTCGTCCACAAGAGAAACTCCGATACAAGCAAATCCCATTTCAGTTTCCTCAATAGTAATCTCAAGCTATAGGAATGTCTCAGGTATCAATTTGTTGCTTTGTGCCATGCAGGCACTGAGAGGCACTGGGACAGAGCTGAAAACCTTTGGTTTTGGGAGATCTATCAACTGAGCACAGCTAATGCAGTAATTCTGCCTGTGAACCATGGCAAGAGAAAGGGGAAGGAAAAAAAAAGAAGGAAAAACAGACTTATAGTTCAAGTATCTGAATACTCCAAGCCTCCCAATTATCCTGGTCTCCTGACTGAGAAGCTGCTTAGCCTGACTGCCAGTTATTTTCTGGAAAAATCTAAATTTCCATGACCATCATAACCCTTTGTTGTTTCTTACATGCTAGTGATACTTGGAGCACAGAGTATTTACCACTATAAGATTTAAGAACAGTAAAGGCTAAAAAAATTTTGAACAGTAGAACCACAAGGCATTTAATGAGACCTACCTCAGCTTCTTTTTAATCTGACTAATTTGAGACTCATAATAATCAATTAGACATAGGTACCTGAAGAAAGGAAAAATGTTAATTTTGAATTTTAGATATTCTCACAAAACTCATACAGTGACCAACCCAGACGAACAGCTCAGCTTACACACTGCACTGCACTTTGGAACTGGCTGCTCCAAACAGTGCAGTTTCTCTCATACCAGAAAAACACGGTCACACTTTGCCAAAATGGAAAAGTAGACACATTGAATCTGTACTAGTTCAGAAGCAGCAAAATATTCAAGAGGAGAAAAAAGTTAAATCTGCCCACCAGTGTCCTCATCTTATGCCTGTGGTTACCCAGCAAGATTAACAGAGAGGCACAGTCAAAATAAAGTGTTCTGAACACTCTGAGATTGTCTGGTTTGGAGAGACAGATGAGAGACGACAGGGAACCAAATTTAGTGATCCTTCCTCTGATACAGTGAGGGCTCAAGGAAAAAGCTGAGCACATACAATCCCTCTTAAAAGTTTCCCAGATAAACATTGCTGGCCAGGCCTAGAAAGCCAGGTGACATCAGCACAATAAAGCAATGGCTACCTGAGGCCTAGGAACTGGCAAATGTCTGACTGTAGCAGAGCTGCAGAAATCCTACTAGCAAGAGACCAAGCCTTGTGACACTTTGGGAACTCACCCAAAAGTACTTGGAAGCTCACAGCAAGCCTGCAGTCAGCAGTTGCAAACATCACTTCCCAAAACTGGAAAGGCTCTTTTTTGGGGGGGCTAAGGATGCTGTTTGTTGAGGGGGTTTGTTCATTTTTAACTCACTTACTTAATTTACTTACTTAAATGTCAGCATCTCAGGATGAGATCATCCTAGCTGCCAGCCACTGCAGCTACAGAACAGAGCGAATCATTCCCTTCCCTTTGCTGACATCTAGTGTGGGCAGTGGGTGTCAATTGTTAAATTTCTGCCATGGATTTATCCGGCTTACAGTTTCGCAAAAGAAAAATATCACTGCACTGAGATACCTCCACAAGACAATATATTTCATCTTGTACGTCTAAAGTCTCCAGATTACTTTTTTTACCCATATAAATATTAAAAAGTATTACATTGAAATCTGTTTCTTCATTTACTGTTGCAGGGATTCAGCAGTAGAAGAGAATCACTTACCGCTGATCCAGGAGAGACTTGGGAGCTCTTCTGCAAAACTGACAAAACATTTTGTTTTGAGTGTCAACTCGCTGCTGCTCCTCCCTCCCAACTCTCCTCAGCTCCTTCTGCAAGCGGGCAATAATCTCTTCCTGTTCTTGCAGCTTTTCCTGCTGCTGTTGGTATTTTACCTGTGAACAGGCAACGGGAGCGTTACTGAATGGTTCTGACCCACATGCTGACTGTACCATACAAGCCCAGGTTCACACCTGGAACCAAGGAACAGGAGCCCTTGGGTTTTAGCCATGCTGAAGAGACAGTGCAAGAGAGATACAGATATTTTTCAAAATTATTTCTAGAAAATTCTGCATAGTTTGAAAATACTTAGCTATCAACAGTGTACTAACCCTATGACCCAAGATTCATGTTTATTTACATCAATGTAAGTATTTTGAGATCTTCTGTAAGTCAAAAGTTTGAATCCTCAGGCAGCACTATCTAAATTACCCGTGAAGCCTGTTGCTCTTTTTGAAGCTCCTTGACTTGGTTCTGTTGCTGGCATGCCTTAGCTATTGTTTCATCTTCCAGCTGACAAATTTTGGCCTTAATGTTCTTCACCACATTTTCCAAATCATTAGCCCGTTGCTCTTGCCGAGATGCCCGACCTTGTTCCAGTCGTACCACATCTCTGAAAAAAGAAATAAATCCTTGCTTTTAAATTAAACTCATTTCACTATAGACAGTGCAGGAAGCACACGCCTGACATTATGTGATGACCTCTGATAACATCCTGTGGCAGCAGGTGTGGGAAATACACTGATATGAGAAGAAGCAGCAGATGAAACAAAGGGAGAGCTTGAAAGGAACTGGGACAATATTGTTGCATATTGAACAATAACCTCAGGAAAAAGGTCTTAGGCCTCTGGTGAGATAAGATCTCCACCAGGCTGGAGTTGCACACTGATAATATTTTTACTCTGCAGGTAAATTCCTTCCACTGTCTTACCTAAGACATCGATTTGCTTCCATAAGTCCCTGCATCACCTTTTGCTGTCGCTCAGTGTCTTCCACCAGCGTTTGCAACGCAAGTCTTATTTCTTGAGAAGACTGATGGTCTAGGACAATCATATCTGGAGACAGGAACATAAGCAAAGTCACAATGAAAGGGTTTGAACAGCCAAAGATTTGCCTGTTTGCCACCACTAGGAAGTGACAGCTTTGGAGATGCCTTATGAACTTAGGGTTACTATTTCCAAATACAAAAATTACATTTCCTTACCTGATGTATCTCTGCAGCTTTGGGGGGCAGCAAGACTGACAGGTTTCAACCCATGACGCATTAATATCCTGTTTAAGTTTTCCCACTCTGCCTTCTCCTGCTGCATTGGGAGAAAGGGAAAAAGGCAGATACCTGAGCTCTTTGCATCAGCTGTGCAGCAGAAGGTACCAAATGCCCACAAATTAAAGCAAACAACCCCAAACCCCCAAGGGGCCACTTCAAGAGGGTTTGTGAGAAACTCCACTAGGATCTGCAAAGCACACTGGGGAAATGCGTACTTAACTCCACACAGTAGAACCAGTTTTCCTGACCCCTACTTGAAAGCAGAACACGCGCAATGAGTTAAATCCGCCTCTTTAGGAAACGCGAACCACCGGCCCGCGGCTCCCTCCAACGCCCCCGGGGCGCCGCGGCCCCGCCGCGAGCGGCGCCCTCAGGGAGGCGGCGGCGGCTCTGGGGGCTCACGGCCCGCTCCAGCGCGTTCTGTCCCGTCCAATCCCCCAGCAGCGCCGCCCGGGGCCAGCGGGGTACCTCGGTCATGGCGCGGGCCGCAGGGCAGCAGCGGGGCCGCAGGGCAGCAGCGGGGCCGCAGGGCAGGAGCGGGGCCGCTGCTCAGGCCGCGGGGCCGCTCGGGCGGGAGCGGAGCGGCGGCGGTGGCGCGCGGGGGCGGCGCTGCGCGGGCGCCGCCATTTTGCGGCGCGGGAGGCGAGGGGAGGAGACCGGGCGGAGGTAGGAGCGCAGCGGTCGGGCGTGGGGCTAATGAAAGCAAAAGCTAAAGACAGGGGGAAAATGGAGAAAAACTCGTTGCTGGCGGTAATGGTGGGGGCACATCTGGCGTCCGGTTTGCGCTTCCCGGTACGGCGATGAGCGCTGCCGGGATTAGGTGGATGGTGTGGGGGCTGTAATTCCAGCCTGGTTTTCAGAACGAGCCCTTCCGTGTAAAGGAGCAAGCAGCGCCTTGGGCTGCTGAGCTGGTCAGTGGATGGAGGCAGTGGGTGCAGCTGCTGTGTGTCCCTCCTGGAGCAGCGCACGGCTTTCCCTTGGGACGCGGTGGGATCGCCTCCAGCAACCACCCCGGGCCTGGGGTCAGCCTTCGGGCTCGGTGTGAAATAAATGTGTATTGCTTCATTACCATGATTTCAGGGGAAAAAAAAAAAAAAAAAAAGAATTTGTGTGTTCTGGGATGCTTCCCAACCTTTTCAGCATTGATCCTAAATGATGCCTAAAATCCGCGCCGCGGCACTGGGGCCTGCCCGGGGTGATGGAGGCTCTGGGTGTCTGAGACTCTCCTGGTATCTCCTGCGTGCCCCAGGCCGCCCCTAATGCTGATCCCTGCCAAGGAATATTGCCTGCCTGCTCCTTGGAGCACAGCAGGGAAATATTGCCTGCCTGCTTCTTGAACAGAGGAGGGAAATATTCCCTGCCTGCTCCTTGGGAGCAGGGAATATTGGAATATTTCCTTGGGAAATACTCCCTGCCTGATTCCCACCGTGTGCCCGGTGATGCTGCCTTCGCAGGAACCAGAAACTTCAGGAGTGCCCAAAACAACCCCCTCGGCATTTGTTAGCACTGTTTGTTTATTGATAGGTACAGACAAGACAGATAATGATGAAATTAATGAGTGAAGAAAATACATTATAAACCGATGGTTATAAAACACCATCGTGTAAGAAATTAGTTCCTTGTGGGTCACCTAGATTTTGTGACTGATTTGCCAGGTCAAATTTACTAATGTGCTTGTTGAAAGCTGCTACAGTTGTTTAGAAAAGGGAGGAGGTGGAATTACTGCCTGTGCTATTTCTAATCCCAGTTTCATTATGGACTGGGATTGAGATGGGCAGCTCTGGATTAGGTTCCTGCTTTGGTCAAGTTGTTAACTTCTAAGCTTTGTCTCACAAATCAGGCAGCCCATTTTTCTGTCCAGTAACTGACAAAGTTATGAGCAGCTAGTAAAGGTAGGACACTTTACTAGCACTTACTTGGTTTTGTAAAATATAATATTTTTTTAAATATGCTTGCCTTTCTGTCTTAGAGAAAGATGGTTGTATTTTAAGTGTTTTTATTTTATCATATTTATCACAGCACTGCACGTGAGTTAATGATGCTTTTAAAAATTGTCCTTTATCTTAGCTGGAGAAAATGGCGAAACTTTAGACTTCAGCACTTCTCTCCTACTATTCTGCTTTTCTATTTTTTCTTGCTGCTAATTGGATTAAAAGCTCTTTTGGCTTCTATGGCATCCGGTGAGGAGATTACTGTCTGTGACGATGAAGTAAGGTAAAGAATCAGAACTGTGATATGAGCAGATTTGGAAAGATATCCACAGTTCCAGTGGTCACTTATGACTGTATCTAAACTTTAAAAATCACTTGAATAAAAGGATATCTTGCCAGATCCATTCCCCTGTGTCTGTCTGTGCAGCATTGAATATCTGAATGATGTAGGTAGTGCTTAGGAGATTAGAGACAAATCTGTTAATACAGGAAATAGTTTTTAGATTATTTTTTCAAGTCTAAAAAGCTGAAACACTTTCTTTGACACAAATCAAATAATATATTTTAATGCCTACCAAGAAATAACAGAACTGTCCAGGAGTATCTTAAAACTAAATGTAATTTTGTTACCTATTGTCAGCTGAAATGGGAGTTTTAGAGGTTAGATGAGTAGCTGTGTCTTTGTACTGTTTGTCAAAATGAGTCTGTTTAACTGTTTATATTTTGTGATGTTTTGTCATATTTGAATGTCTGAAAAACATTAAAATATAAGCAGTTCTGTGAGTGTATTCTTTCAGTTCTCATTTTGTATTTCAAAAAGTGCAAATACAAAAGCAGAAGAAGCAGTAAAGCTTTGAACTGCAGACATCAGGACTTGAACTTTCAACAACAATTAATTTACTTTGTTGGTTTCTCCTTAGGTCTCGGTACAGCCACCTAGAGAAGATGACAGATTTGGTGGCTGTTTGGGAAGTAGCTTTAAGTGATGGTGTTCATAAGATTGAATTTGAACATGGGACCACTTCAGGAAAGCGTGTTGTCTATGTTGATGGAAAGGTGAAATTGCTATGTGCTCAAAATTCACTGTGATACAGATTATATAAGTGCACTTCCATGCAACACACATCACAACAAACAAAAGATTAATAAATACGAGTGAGGTACATTCAGTTAATTACCTAATTTAATAACATGCATCATTCTTTTTTTTTTCAGTTCAAATTAAGGTGTGAGTATTCATGAAGTGCTTTGCTGTCCTTGGGCAGAGGCACTCTGTGCATACAAAGCACCGTGTATGCATTCATTCCCCAACAGTAGTTCAGTACTGAGCTGTCTCCCGAGTTCCAGTTCAATTTTTTAATATTAAAACATGCACTCAGGTTTTTCAATTAATACCCACCGTGTTTGTTTTGTTTTGTTTTGTTTTTTCCTACAGGAAGAAATAAGAAGAGAATGGATGTTTAAATTAGTGGGTAAAGAAACATTCACTGTTGGAGCTACTAAAACTAAAGCTGCTATTAACATTGATGCAGTCAGTGGCTTTGCATATGAATATACTTTGGAGATCAATGGAAAGAGTCTCAAGCAGTATATAGAGAACAGGTTAAAAACAACCAATACTTGGATATTGAACTTGGGTGGTACAGACTATAGAATTGTTCTAGGTAAGTAAACACTGAGTGAGTGACTATATGTTGCTGCCTTTGAATAAACTTCTGTGCATTTAAAAACTGGTTATTAAGAGAAAGCACAGTTCAGTGGGTAGCTCTGATGCAGTATAAAATCCTGGGGGATGTGGAAATTTGGAATGAGATGCCAACGATAGTCTGAAAAGTAATGACTTGTTATACATGTGTGAGTCTACAGCAGTGTGGTCTAGATTTGGAGACGTTACTGCTGCTGCATCCATAGAGCTGCCCTAGCAAGGCAGTTCTTCAGGTGAAGACTTTAAAATGTTACCTTCATTGTGATCAAACCTCATGTGGGTCTAAGTTTGTTCAGCAGGTAACCAGGCTTTCCTTCCAGAAATCATCAGCCATGGCCAAGAAGTCTTCATCTGAAGTGCAACAATGTTATTCCACATTTTTGATAGATTGATGAACATCCTTTTTTCTGTATCACTTCTTATGTACAAAATTAAACCCTCCAGTGATGTTCTTTCACTTTCTTAATGGTAAATTACAATTACCAATACATTGCTTCTCTTCTGCCCCCTCTCTCCCAGTTACATTACAAGCAGGTGGGAGAAAGGGATGATCCCTTGAGGAATTTGTCCGTGGCATCTAGTGGGAAAACTTCCACTTGGGTATTGCTGTATGGTTAGAGCTGGAGACAAGAGATCTCAGACTATGATTTCTTCTTAAACCTCAGGACAGAATGAACTGCCCTCAGATGAAGGGAAGCAATGGAGAAAGACAGTTTTAGTGCCAGAAACAGATAAGTCTTCACAGAATTTTAATATCCCTATGCTTACTGGAAAGGCAAGCAGGGTTCAGCTCTCTGCTGATGTTGTGTCAAAGACAGTGTCAGTAAAGGGAATTCTACAGCAAAGTATTTTAAGGAGGATGTGCTGGGAGAAGAAAAAGAATATTCTGTTTCAAGTCCAAAAAAACTCTTAAGATTGATATTTAAAGTGGTGGTTTTGAAATATTAAGAATACAAGCAGTTTGATGGATCAAATAATTCTACTTTTTAATTAATTCGACCTGGAAAAAGAGTTAGAGCATTATTGAATAACCAGCACTCAAATAATTAGCAGAAGTTACTTTTCTGTCTTTATTTTTTCAGTTTAAGACTGTCAGTATCTCTGACACTATTCAGAACAACACAGTGTTAATAGCCAGGGTTAGGGAGGGGTAAAAGTGTATCTTCAAAGCAAAAGTTGATGACAGAGCCTCCTCTCTCTCTCTGAGAACAAACCCTGTAGCTACTTAGGAACTTCATTTGGGAATTGAAAGTAAAATTCCACAGTAGATTTTTAAAATCCCTAGATCCTTGTTAGTAGGGACAAAAAAAGTACCTTGTTCTTTCTACCTTGTTTTCCTTTTCCTTCACAGAAAAAGACACTATGGATGTGTGGTGCAACGGTCAAAAAATGGAAACAGCGGTATGTGATCCTTTCCAAAGGCTCTTCCCAGGCTATGGATACGTAACCAAAGCACACATTATCTCCCTTTACCAAAGAGGCCAAGGCAGCCAGGATGCTTCTGGTCTGTTCCAAATGACCCTCACTGAATTTTATAATGGGCTGTATTTCATATGTCTCACATCTGCTAGTTTAAGGATAAATTATGCTTTTCTTTACCCTTTTTAGACAAACAAAATCAACTTGAGTCAGTTGTGCAGGGTTTTTAGGGAGAAAACTTCCTGGAGACTGGGAAGGATTTGAGTTTGATGCAGAGTGTAGAGCCACTGCATCCAAACCTGCTTATAATAGTTGTCACTGAAAGTTAAAGATATGTAGCCTGACACATGTTTTTTGCCATCTTGAGATGTTCCTAATACTTAGGGCTTAAGAGCCGCATTGGAACAAGTCAAATATTTTATCTTGATCACATCTGCATTAATTTCCAGAGAAGGCTGGCAGGTGGGTGGTTTAATCTGTTTGGTGTCTTTCTGCTTATGATGACTCTCAAAATGCACACCAAGTAGGCTTCCCCATTCTTGAAGGATGTGCTTTCTCACCAGAGGGTGAAAGAGTTGTTACTGCTTCCTCAAGGAAGCCCCTGGGTGAGTACAAATGGTAAAATCAACAGTTCTGCTACACCTGAGAGTAGGATGCAAAGATTCACCAAATGTTTGCTTAGTAATCAGTGGAAGAAGCCTCCTCTTCCAGTAAATCAGGGCTTCTTGCTCCTGATGGCTCATCCTTTTCTACAATGTACTGAAAGCACTCAGAGGTGGTGTCCTTGCAAGCTGTGAGTGCAGGTTAAGTGCCAAACTGTGCTTCCATTAGAGCAGCACACATAGTTCTGCTGTCACAAACATCATGACAAAAACACAGCCATGCCTGGCAAAATCTCTAACAGGAAATTACAGAACTGCAGGAGGAGATGTGTATCCAAGATACACAACTGTTGTACTCAGTTCAGGGATCTGCTGTAGAAGGCATCCTCAACACTTCACCTTTCACTGCCACTTGAGCATAGGTTGGTGTGGCACCTACTGGCTGTGCAGCACAACTTGGCAGGACGCTGCCTGTTCTGGTTTTGTTTACTGGCGTGAATCAGTTTGATTCACCAATTCCAACCTTACAATTTCTGATTGTGTGACATTCTCATCATCATCTGATACCCACAAATCTTTGACTAGGCACCTCGACAGAGCCCTGCCTGAGATTCAGCAGCTTTGTTCAGCTTTTAGGCAGTGTTTGTCACAGGTACCTAAAGCTGCTGAAACTGTGGCAACTGCAAGTGATCTTGACATTGATGCATTCAAGCTTTTCATTTATTAAAATATCATATGTCTTGTTTTCTCTGTTTTTTGTTCTTGTTTCCTTTCTCTCAGGGTGAATTTGTGGAAGATGGGACTGAAACTCACTTCACTGTTGCTGATCATAGCTGTTGCATTAAGGCTGTCAGTAGTGGGAAGCGAAAGGAAGGAATTATTCATACCCTTATTGTGGACAACAGAGAAATCCCAGAGGCTGTGGAATAGCCTCTGATTAACTGATTATGGCAGGACTAAGATCAGGAATTTTCAATTACTGTGGTAATTATTTTAATATGTACTACTTGGTACATCTAGTTTGTGCTGGGTTTATTTTCTAGTTTCTGTACACAAACTTACTCTTTTTGAGGACCAGATGAAAATAATTATGTACAATCTTTACAATTGTGTACAAACATTACCAGTTTTTTAAAAAATATATATATATATAAAATATATAGCATATCACTATGTGTGGAGAACACTGGTGAAATAGAAATGATACCAGGAATTATACTGGTGATATAGAAATTGTACCAGGAATATAGAAATTATATCAGGAAAAATCAAGCTGTAATAAAATGAAAGAGAAATATTCAGTAACACTGAATCAATCCTTTACTGCAGGATACTGTATGTGGAGGGAAGAGAAAGCCTGTACTGGGCACAAAAGTAAGATGTTAAAAGCTTTCTCTAGAATTATTTTTTCTATTAAACTGACTACAGACCTTTTCACATACAGTTAAGGGGAATTACATAGTTAATAAAAAGGTTAATTAATGAAAGATTAAATTATGAAATACATAGTTACCAATACTTGTGTTACAGTATTAAATTAATACTGAGTTATGAAAACTGTTACTCTATTCTCACTAGGAGCAAGATGTTACATTGTGCCAAAATTAACATTCCTTTTGGTGTTCCAAAAATTGATGCTGTAGTTCAGAAACTCATTACTGAGTTTTTTCAAAAAAGAAAATAGAAGAAAAATAAATTCCTGCCATGAAGCCCCTTTAAAAATATCTCCGGAAGCACGCTGACATAAGAACTTACCTTTGTTCAGTGATAACAAATCTTAAATCTACAGCTATCTTTTTTTATGGCTGTAATGTGTGAGTCAATAAATATGAGGAACAAGGGAACAGAAATGGAAAACAATTGGTTACTTTAATGGAATAGTTAAAATAGGAGTAGACTAATTCTGTTTTCAGAATTGCAGCATAATTTCTAAGAGCAAGTTTTGGACTTCTTGAGAGCAAAACTCTCGTGCTAGAGACTCGCACTACAAAACTATCTTTGCAACAGCAAGCATAGCTAATCTTAAAAATAATTTTTAAAAATCTCAAAATATGAATATATTAACCTAAAAGTTTATTTTGTAATGTTTAAAAATATTTCCACTTGTAATCTCAGAATTCAGAATTAAACTTTTATAACTTAATTTCTTTTGGACTTGTGAATTGTTCCTAGCACAACTACTAGCTCAGGAGTTGCAGGTGCAGTACAAGCATCCTGGGTACATTAACAAATTATTTTGAAAAGTTTTATTAATGCTAATTTCATTTATGTTTTAGAGATCAGACTGCTCCTCATCAGCAGGCTTTACTAGAGGAAGTTTCCAGGTACCCAAATGCTGGACTGAATCCACTTTTACAATGGAATTACTGTAACAGCTCTTGACCTTTTCTGTGTATTTGCTTCAGGTCACTGCAGAAGCAATGTGGGGATTCCCAGCTACAAGGCTGACAATGTAATCTTCAAAAGATGTTGGTAAAGGTAGATTAATTGAAAAATAATTTCAAGCTGTAGCCTGAACCAGTTCTCTACTATTTTGTAACCTTTCAAATAGATTGAATGCTGCTGAGAAATCTGAAGTTCATGTACAGTACAAATCATGTTCTTAAGACTACAAACAAATACAAGTTAACAGATAGTGACATTTATACTTTTTATTTTGAATATGTGCATCTACAGTGCTTGAAGTAACTAATAAAAACTGTATAGCAACCATTGTAAGAAATAATGAAGTATTGCCTCACGTTTGTCATAACTGTATATAATAGCATGTCCCTAAGCAGAAAACAGCTGTCATCTGCTACATTCTCCTATTTTAAGTCAAAAGAAAACTTAAGACTCAAAAGGCACAACCAAGATTTCTTGTGTTTCCCCGATATATGCAATATGTCAGATTAAGAAAATGCAGTGGAAGAATGACAGCCTATACAAACATCAAGTGTATAGTCACAAGCTGAGATCACTTTAAGAAATAAGGTAAATGACCAGGTACGTTAAATGGTAATGTTAAATGTTACACTGTATTTTGGAATGCTTTCCCCTCTGCTTCCATTCACAGGTTATTTTGTCCTAATCTCCTTAAGATGTTAACTTACTATTTTGTTCACAAATATTTCAGACAGCTTTTCAAGAAGCACTCTCACCATAGCACACTACTAAGCAGAGCATCCTCTTAAATCTAAGCACTGGACTTTGTTCTCAGAGGGTCTTCACCATAGCTACAGTTCTGCTTTATTCCCACTGAGGATCCTGCTCGTTTCCTCCAAGACCTACATACCTGTCAGTCATTGGGGACAAGTCAGCAAATACTGTGGAAAGGCTGCAAAACCATTGAAAATGACAAAGACCTCAGGACTGACCAAACTATCTACTAAACTGTCATATAGTGTAAAGGCATTCCTGTGCAGTGCTGGTGGCATAATACAAGCTGGTCGGCCTATAGTGTATGAGCCAGTTACTACATCAGCCTCAAGCACGTACATTTTAGAATCCATTTCCTGTGTAGCTTTATCCTTGGTCAGGTACCTTGGGTTCTTTGTAAAGTAGATGCCAGCTCCATATTTTTGTTCTGGAAAGCGAAAGAAAAATTATATATAAATGTATATACATGTATTATATTTTTCTGCATTTATTATAAAGAAACTAGAAGAGAAGAAACTAATGAAAAGCAATTTATGATCTCCATGACACCACTTCACAGCTGAGCTTTCATATAAAGGTATCTATACTGAATGACTATCAAAAACATGAGTTAAAATTGATCACTCAGTAGCTTTCTGTAATGATATTAGTTGTATCAATTGTTCATGACAGCTCTGCAGAACAAGTCTACTGCTGAGCCCTGCAACCACCCAAAACCGTCCGTGGAACCCCATAAAACGTCTTTACAGACTGGTGCCCAACAGGTCAAGACCAACGGTGTTCCCTCAGGATACAGCATTCCTGAGGGGCTTCCCCAGAGCTGCCTGATGCCACCCACTCCTTGTGGCAGTAGTTGCTTTCCTGTGGAAGGTTCTACCTTCCCCAGTAATACGGAGGGAGCTGGAGAAAGAGCTTGCCAGGCTTCTCTCCATCCTTTCCCAGCAGCCCTGGGTGAGCAGAGTAGTCCCAGCTGAGCACAGATGTGCCAATGGAAGAGCCGTGCCAATGGAAGGCTCGGTGGGAAGGATGATCCAGGATCCATAGGCCTGGCAGCCTGAGCTTGCTGCCGGGGAAGGCCTTGGAGCAGATCCTCCTGAGGCCATCCCACGGCACGTGCAGGGAACCAGGGGGTCTGCTGGAGGGAGGGGAGCTCTGCGGAGGGACGGGGACAGCTGGGGGTCCTGGCGGGCTGTTGAGGGCTTTGGTGTGGTGTTTGCTGGGTGTTGGTGTTGGAGATGGGTTGGGGAAGGAGTTGTCTGGGAGGTGAGAGGTCTAGGCTGGAATTTGAGTCCATTTGAAGGCAGCATCTGTAGTTTGGCACAGCCTTGGTTATAGGGTGCAGAAAGAATATCTGTGACTGTTTGTGTTCATGGTCCTGATTGTGCTGCAGGGAACAAGGGGGGAGAGCTGTACTTTATTGGCCACTGAGATGTCTGTAGCTGGGGAAGGAATAGCCCTTTATCCATCTGCTCATTTGTTTGGGCTACTTTTGTAAGACTGAGTAGACTAATTTCTTGAGTGCTTTTATTTCTTTAAGGGTATTAGGAGATTATAATACCTTCATTGAAAACCATTTGCAAATCAAAGAATGGCCTTCTTTTTGCCTCTCTATAGTGTTATGTTTTGTAAAGTGACTTTCAATGGATGACATTATTGCAAATGAGTTGCTGCTTTTAGATGGAAGCAAACATCCAAACTATTCACATTCTCAGGCCATCCCATTTAATTTAGGAAGTTTGCAAATTTTGGTACTTTATGAGTTCAGCAATAGGAAGTGAAGGTTCCCTGAAATGAGGATTCTTTCATGCCAGTTTTTTCTGTGTCTTCACAGCAATGATGTTTTTGTGCTGCAGGAAATGACTTCAATGACACTGGGAAAGGCTGGGAGAGGAAGGTGCCCAGAAGGGGCCGCCTCACAAAGCGCCCACATCCCCTCCAGGGATGCTGGGGAAAGACAAGACCTCTGTGAGTCCGTCCTGGGAGAGGTTTGCTCCCTCTGTCTCAGGGCCTTGGTGCCTTTTTTCCCCTGTCAGGGAGATGCAGCGTGTCTCAATCCTTTTGTGTTCTCACAGTGTGATGAAACTGATTTGGGTCAGTGTGACTCATTTCAGGGGTCTGCAGTACCTACGTGTCACACCAAAGAGACGAACCATCCTTTGGAGTGTTGCTCTTCAAACCTCCTTTCTTGACAGCAAAAGGGAATTTGGTGCCTGAAACAAGTCCTCTGCAATAAGGCTCATCCCAGGCTGCAGGTAAGTGTCCATATTCCCACCGTGAGTGCTCTCATGAGCAGGACCTGGGGGCTCTGGATCAGACCCTGGTGGGGAGGGTAGAGTGAGGAAGAAGATAAGGGCCAGTTTCTTTCCAGCCTGTGGAAGAGGGGAAAAGCCTGTGTTGTTAGGAATGACATTGACAGCCAGGGATATGGCACATTTTGACAGAGATTTTGAAATCAACTAATATAAACCTAGCATCTTTTCATCCCAACAGTCCCACTCTCAGCATAGTATCCTCATGCACTTAAAGTCCTGTCCCCTTGGCTGATACCTTGTTAAATTCAGACTCCTGCAATAATATTTTATCTTGTAATTATGATCCTAGAGCATGCAAAAGAAATACCAAGATGAATATAGTTGATTACCTTCCCTTCATCCTTTAGAGCATTGAGTTAACCCCAGCCACTGAATAATTGCACCTGCAGAATAGGTTTTATTGGGAGAAACAAGAGCAGGAGGACTCTGCAGCCAGTAGAGATCAAGACTGGTTGCCTCTGCAAAGCCATTTCAAGCCTCTTGGCTTGAGACTATGTCATTAGCTTCTGTCAGTGATTAATTTGAGAAGTATATATTCAGTAATGGACTATTTAGTGTACAAAGCTTAGTGCATAATCTATTTACTTACCACTGCCAGCACATCACACAGTAGCATTGCAGCTAATATTGAACAAAACCCTGAGCAATGCAGTATCACCTTTTGATTTCTTCACATACCATTTATTTTTCTTACCAGGGATAAGTCCTGCAGACCTTGGTCTCTCAGCAAACCCATGCTGGTAGTTTTTCCTGCTTTGCCAGGCCTTGGTCGTCAGCTCACTGGTGATGCTCAGTTAAGACATGGTTTAAGCACCATCCAGTCAGGACCACTGAGGAGCAGGACAGTGATGGCAGCTGAGGTGGAAAGGAACAGGGCTGGAGGCCACAAGTCTGCAACAGGAAGGTGAATGTTGAGGGCCAAAATTGTTCAGTGAGATGCAGATCCAGAGAGAACTGGAGTGGATAGACTGAAACTTTCTGGGTTGCTGTTAGGCTGTCAGACTGTAAATGTAGCTCATGTTTGTACCAGCCAGTTGTATTTGCAGCTCAGGTGCATGAGCGCTGCAACAGAAAGTGGATGCATTGTCCATATTTAGTAGGATCTTGCATTTTTTTTGTTGGGGGGTGGGGTAAGGAGGGCAGATAAAAATGCTTGAGGAGCCCAGGGTTTGTGAATTCAGAAGCTGCTTACATTGAACTGAAAATGCCTAGTTTGGTACAGACACAGTTGATATGCCTGGGCCAGAGGGCGTATCAGCTTCTGGGGAAGAGGAATGAGAAATGCCCTGGGGACCTCTCATCCCTCCTTAGTGCCCGACTGAAGGGACAGGGAGACCATCCTTCTTTATTTCCTTCCATCCCAACTGTGTCTGCTGCCTACACACCCTGAGCCACCTTCAAGGGTCTTGGGGCAGCATCAGCTTTTCCGAGTGTCTGCAGCAGCAAACCTGCTGCCTTGTCATCTATCGAGGGCACCTGCTCTGGGCAGCTATCTGCTTTACCTGGGCTTAAAGCCATCTCGATGGCTTTTTTTCCATCTCAATGGAAATTCTTCCATGTTGAGAAGGAAAACCATCTCTTTCCAGTGTCTGTGCCAAAGTCAAAACAAGGAGAACGCAAGGTGTCCGCAGCAGTTGACGTGCTGAGGTGCTCTTCTGGGATTTTCATGTGGGTGTAAACCTGGTGTGAAGGTGGCTCAGTGTGGATGCAGGGTGCAGCCAGGGCTGGGTAATCAGCTCCCCCTCTGATTCCAAGTCCCCCCGTGTCCATTGTTATGTGTAGTAGATATAATTCGCACAATTTCTAATATAATATATGTGATATTGAATATTTGTTGGAGTACACACGTTTGTATTAGGACTCCCCCCCACCCTCGCAGGTGAAACCTGGTGTATGTTGAAACCCGATTTGCACATAAAAGGATGTGACTCGGCCAGGAGATGGGCCATGTGTGGAGAGATACGAGATACGGGGACCCCAGATGCTGATCCCAGACCTGGGACGGATATCATGGAAATCCCTGGGCAGATACATGTGACTGTAGGTTCCCGTAAATTTCATCAAGAGATTCACCAATTCCTGACACTGAATTGTTCTTCTTCATCACCAAAAAAAGAAAAGTTAATAATCTATGGACTCTGAATAGAAGAAAAGACTGACTGCCGAAATCTTAGCCTCAGGCGGAATTTTCCCTATAAAACCCGCTTGTGCCAGGATGGAGGTGTGTGAGCATGGAAGAAAACCTCTGCTGAGGTTGACTCTTTGTTGCACACCCAGGGCCGACCCCGGGCTCGGCTCTGTTCTTTCCTTGTGGCTGGCTAGATAGAATTTGATTGCAAAATAAATATTTTATTTTTTCATATTAATTTGGCTGGACAAATTTTCATTTATAACATCCGTGATGAGTGGCCCAGGGCAGGAACCCACCCCGCCCACCCCAATTCCAGCCGGGGAGTGACTGCGGGGTGCGGCTGGCGGGTCCCCGCTGCGCTCTGCCGCCGTGGGACACGGGGCGCGCCGCGGCGATGCCGGAGCTGTACAGGGTGGGATCGGTGCGGTGGGTTGCGGCAGGAGCTGCCGGCGCGGCCCCCAAAAGCGGGGTTGTGGCAGCAGCGGGGCCGTGAGAGGGCGGTGTTGGACCGCGCTGCGTCTCCGCTGCATTCTGGGCAGTTCCAGCCTTGCTATTTCGCAGCAGGCATTCGTTGCAACAAAATCTCCTTTCCCCCTTTCTCCTGTTTTCTTTTTCTTTTTAATTTTCTGCCTTTTTTTCTTCTTTCCTATTCTTCTTTCCCATTTCTCCTTTTCTTTTGAGGTGTTTCCCAGACCTTCCCAGCAGTGTTTGTGACCTCTTTCCCAGACTTTCCAGCAGTTTATGAAGCATCCCAGCGCTGGAAGGGTGACTCTTTGCCAATTGAGCATCCCTGCAATCACAGGTGAGCAGCTGATGCAGCCAAGAGCTCCGTGATGCCCCACCACACCGGTCGTGTTCCTGAGAGGACTCGCAGCCAAAGCTCAGCATCACGGCCACCTCTGCCACGTGCTCCCTGAGGTGACTCCTCTGGATATCGAGCCCTGGAGGAGAGGTTACACCTCAGGTTTTGCCTGGCTTGAAGAGAATAAAAAGCCCCATTGGTGACAGCAACCTAAACAGGTAAAAATGTGCCTTTTTTTTTTTTTTTTTTTTTTTTTTTTTTTTTTTTTGCTTTGCTCAGTTTCCCTTTCCCTACACTGCTTTGTTTTATCTCATTTTTCATGGTTGCAAATTCTCTTCTTTTCTTTCCCAAACTCCAAAACTTTCTCTAGGTGCAAACTAGGGAGTGAGTGTGGAAGTGAGCTGCCTTCACCTTTATCTGCTGCTGTTGGACAGATGAATCCACACTACAGCAGAGCACTTGCAGATTACTCTCCTTCTGTGAAAGTTTGCCTATCAGTGTAAGCGGCATCTGGAGATGGGAAAACTGAACTTCAGGTACTCCACCTTTCTTTCACCAGGTCAACAAGTAGATTGATTTTTCTTCTGCTATGCTAGCAAAGCCACAGGCTTGTTTTTGATTCCTACTCTTTATGACAAGGACGGGAGTTGGGAGTAGGGGGGAAGGAAGAAAACTTTGAGGGACCATCTCTGCCCTTTGCAGTCACTGAAGGGATGCCTACCAAGGGTGGTGAAGGGAGAGGTCTTGCCAAGGCAGACAGTGCAATCATCTCTTTGTCTCACATAGAATCAGTGGGTCATTAATGTTTGAGCCAGCCTCTTATTTCACCGCAGTTGTCTGCATTATCAAGGTTTCCCTCAATACATCAAAAACCTGAAGGCCTTAACAGCCCCCAGCAATGGCTGGAACAGGAGTTATTCCTGATCTAAAGCCAACCCTGCTGATGGCCTCTCTTTCTGTGATATTTGCGACACTGAGCAAAGGGATTGACCAACAAGAGATGATTACTTTTCCTTTTGTGCTCCCTTAGGTTAAAGTTTTGAGAGGACAAGGATTATCTCCAGTTTAGAATCCTCCTTTTGAGGTGATGGATTCATTGCAGGCTCTGCTCCCTTTGCACTCTCAGCTTCCCCCAAAAGAGGAGTAGATGTGTGAGAGCCAGAAAACCAACCATTGGCAGCCCTATATTGTGTGAGATATTTTATTTACAAAGGTGGGGACATTTGTACCATCACCTTCCCTTGATGGCTCCCCAGGCCTTGCTCTGCCAATAGAGCTCAATGCAGAGAGGTCATTAGGAAGACTAAGGTGAATGCCTTGTGAAGGCCAGGAGACTGTTCTGAAGAAAGTCCCTTCCAGCACTGAATTTTACAGTGGTCCAGTGGGCTGGCAGGTGCAGTTTGTTTTACCTGGTTGCTTGGTTGCTTTGATCTTTAAAAAGTCTCGTAAATGCCTAAGAAGAAGAAAGTTGTTCACCTGTTCTGCATAGTGGGGGGAAAAATCCACCCCAAATGCACAATGGAGGGAATATCTGTCTCTCTGTGTCAGTGATGCTAAACTGGAGTTTCAGTGGGAGAGCACTCAGCCCTGGACAGGTTTTCCAGGTTAATTGAAAGGAACATGGTGATATCTGAAATTGCTACTTGCTCCATGTTCTTGTGGCTTTGTTTAGCATGGAGATAACAGAAATGCATAGGTGGCATCTCTCTTTACACCTGAGCCTGTGAAGAGAGGGTGAGCTACTTTAATGGCTCTCTATTTTTATTGAAATCTCTCTTTGTTGGGTATCCTGGGGTTTACACTGACTAGTACCTTTCCGTAAGACATCTCTCAATCAACAGAGACAACCAAGTTTACAGGACAACATTTTTATTTTTCCCCTGCTTGTCAGCATGTCAAGCAGTACCAAAACACACAATCTCCTCCTGAATCCCACAGCAAATCATTCCTTTTTTAAAACATCATCTACTGTCAGTAATGGTGTTAGAGATGGGTGAAGACAGCCACACTTCTGCTTCCTACCTATGGAGAGAGGAGCGCTTACAGCAGTTACCTGAGAGGCTATTTAGGAGGGAAACCCTTCTCAGCACTGTTCTGCTGTTTGGGCTTTTCCTTGCAGTTAACTGTAGATACACTTGAAAAGGAAAACAAAAAAACCCAAACCAGTGGGCTATTAACAAGAGGGTTTAATGTTGACAATGGCACTTTGCAGTGGGAGTGTGATCTGCTTAATGTTCCAGAGCAGAGCAGCCCATCAGTTCACATCCCTTTCCTTGGCAGCGGTGCCAACGCTTCCCCCAGAAGTTAAAGCCGTGTGTGTCATTTCTGAGAGAGGCTTATTCACAAAAAGGGAGGAAAAATTGATTGTCTGATTCACAGAAGGAAAAAACACACAAGGGGATAAATTATGAGAATTAAGATGGGCAGGCAGATTTCCACAACTCGTGTATGTAAAAATCTGATCCTGGTAGACTTGAGCTGTGTCATTTTAGATGCATTTCTCTAACCCACATAAATATTTCTGTCAAAAAATCAAATCTGGAAAAGAAAGAAATTTCATTCTTCATCAAAGCTCTACAGTGATCTCGTTATTGAAAACAGAGGAGAAAGATATATCAGGAAGGCAAACAGTTACAGCCACATAGTTGTTTTCAATAATCCAGTGAGTCACTACATAGAAGAGCCTTTCATTTCTCCCTGTGGTTCAGACAAAATTGTTTATTAAGATTTTGGTGCATTATTTAAAATTAAAAAAAAAAAAGAGGAAATGGTACCTCTTTATTTTAAAAACTGTTGCAATAAAAAATCAGATTATTCAAATTTATTAAGTGCATTTTATAAGGCAGTAAGCACAGCAATTTTTTCTTCATACCACAAGATACTCCCTGGCTTTTCCATCTCATTCATAGTCATATGTAAGGAGGCTGTTTACAAGGCTTTGCTACAGCGAGAAAAAAATATTACAGAAATGAAAACTTGATCCAGCCAATGGCTGGATTTGTAATGAAAGACCTAAGTGGAAGGTAAACAGCAGCCTAATGTAATACTTTAAAGACAATTCTTTAAAAGTGATGTATAGTAGATGCAAAGGGGATCTGTACTTCAGATCTTCAACCATGCAGAGGTGTGGAATAGAAGTTAATTGCATATGTAGCTATAATGCACAGTGAGCAGCCAGAACAGACAAATACAAATATTTAAGATATTTCACTTTTTTTAAAATCACAAGGTTGTGAACTTGCATTTTGTTTTGGTTTCTTTTTCCCCAGGAAATTGGACAGGAGGCTGGCTGAAAGAGTACCAGTGCTCTACAGGGATTTCTTGTGCATTTTCAAGGAAGTATTTGCTGTGTTCTAGAATGTGCAAATATTGTTTGGGGCTTGTTTTGTTTTGTTTTTTATCTCAAATGCTTGCCAAGGAAATTGAAATGTACAAACATAATTAGCCAGGGGCTGAACATTTAATCTTAAATTCTGAGTCTTCATTAAGTCTTAATTTAAAAACCTTAGGAGGGAAGCTTGCAACCATTCCTGTTCATAAGGTTGGATGGAATTTGGGGCAGGTTTTATGGCAGAAGAAGCAAACCACTGAAATGGGGAAAGCTCAGCAAACTGTGCTGAAGCCAGTTAGTGGTCAAGTGGTCGTGTCATGGATAATGGGACAAGATCTGGATTCAAGGCGCCTCTTGTGTGGTCAAAGCAGGCCATGGTGGACGTGGCTCTGGGCAGCCTGATCTGGTGGCAGGTGACCGTGTATGTGGGGTTGGGGTCAGAGGGGCTCTCAGGTCCCTTCCAGCACAAACCATTCTGTGGCTAGGAATTTAAGAAGGCTGTGGGAGAACTGGATGTCTTGTGGGGTGAAAAAACAGGAGCTTTCCCTTTGTAGGAGAGTTACTCCAAATCAGAACGGGGTGTTTGGGGATAATTTTTTTTTTTTTTCCATGGGTGGTCTTCCAATGGCATTGTTATTTTAACCTGAAAAAGGGATTATTTTTGAATTTGAATCACTTTTAGTCTATCAAGATAAAATAAATTGCTAGTACCTTTTATTTTTATCTCAACTTACTGAGAAAAATTTCTACACTAGACATGATAGGGAAAAAACTGGGAGGGAGAAAAATTAAATAAAACAAATCCTTTTATTCCTTCTGCAAGTACTCTTATAAGCTGGGAAGCTGTGGAGAAATGTGAAAGTGCTGTGATTTCTCCTACACCTTCCTTTGCCCTTTTTCAGTGAAAGAGCTATGAAATGACATCTTTGTGAAGAACATGCCAGACCCTCTGCACATCGAAAAAAGTCCAAAAAAGCATCAGCATTAATTCCTGTGAGTGTTCATGCCAAATCTGTTCTTTTGTTTAGTCTTGTCAGGGGGGTCATAATTTGAAGTAGTCTTCTTTTTTTTTTTTTCCTGATCACCAAATAGTCAGAAAAGCAGTAACAGTATTTTTTTATTTAAAAGTATTTTTAATTAAAAAAAATAAATATGAAAATCGATCTTAAACCTTAATAAAAAGGCTTATATAGTACCTAGTACTTGCTGAAAGTTTATTTTTCAAGTGCATACTTTTAAAACAAACAAACAAAAAAAAAGTAGTGCAAGAAGATAGCATTCACCTTGCAAATGGCTAGATTCCAGCAAAGAAGAAAAAAATTAAAAAGAAGAAGGCAAGAACAGGAAAATTTGGGCACACTTGCATGGCTGCCTGCAGAGAAGGTGACCCACTGGCCTGCTGCCTGCTGCTGGCCTGCCAGCAGAAGTTTTGCCCTTGCCTTGGCAGCAGCACCCTGAAATGCCGCTTGGCTTCGTGCCGTGGTTCCTGGTGGGCTCCGGCCCCAGGGAAGGCAAGGAGGGGCTGTCCTGCAAGGAAAAGCACCTCCATGGGATCCACCTGCCAAGCAGTGCCCACACCCCCAGATACCACCTCAGCCTCATCACTCCTGCCCTTGCCACTCGGGTGAGGAGAAGTGAGTTCAGTCCCTGAGTTTATAACAAGTTGGGCTGTAAATCCTCTTTGGTGCAGTCTGCTAAGTTATTGAGTGCTTCTGCTCACCTCGGCAGCTTCACAACTCCTACAGCTAAATGGAAAATTTAGAATAACAGAACTATTTCACATGGCAACAGCAACCTGGAAGGATCTGACTGGTGCATTCCTACAAATCAATCCAGTGTGAGCTTCTAAGCCAATGGGCTGGTCCCCTGTGAGCGACCGAACATCTCGTCCTGGGCGTGTTAACAGCAAAGCTTGAAATCATGGTGACTTCTGGAAACCAATTTTGATAACCAGACTCTATTTGTAAGGTATTTAGAACTAATAAAGCTACTGTGGTCTTGGGAGTGCCCTTTTCCTTGAGCACAATGGGAAACTCTTCCTGTCAGGATTGCTATAGAAACAATGACTTATCAGGCAAACGGGACTATCCAGCAAATTGTGCCAGACAGGGGATGTGTGCTGATAATGCAGCAGCATTAATTTGCTCTACTTTGTTATAAGTAGAGCTTGCATTGCCTATAGAAATGTAAAGAGGCAGGTGAGCTGGAGTGTCTATTATTTATAGACACAATTTGTGCTGTATAAATGAATTTTCCATAGGAAGACTTTTTAAAAAAAAAAGGCTTGAGAAACTGCTTTGTAAGTAATTATGACTGGGAGCTTCAAATGTGCTCTGAAGAATGGGTGGGTATCCTTTAGTCCCCCTTAAAATTTTTCAGATGCAATCTTGAACGTGTTGTAAAGAGGGGGGTACTTTGACCATATGTGAGGTACCCCAGCCCCATTACTGACAGCCTTTAGCACGATAATGCTGAACCATGGCTGGTATTGCCTTCTGTCACCTCACAAAACTGAGCCACCCATAAGCAAATGCAAATATTATTAGTATGTTGATGTGCTTGTACTGTGTGGCTTGAGAAGTCAGCACCAGACTGAAGTATGATCCAACAACAACAAGAAGAAAGAAAGAAGCAGAAACTCCTCGGTATCGAGTGGGTAACATCTACATTTTCTTTATTGCATGTTGCTCGATGCCACTTGGGAGGATGTTCCTCTATTTTTAAAAAGGAAGAAGACATGAACTATGGCAGGAAATCATTGAGCTGAGAGGAGTTTGGCTTCAGATGTGAGACACACCACCAGAATCACAGAGAAGGTAGGGGAGGGGTGGGAAAGAAGGATGAGTGAGAGAGCACTAGGCAAGAGAATTCTGTGCTTGGATGTCATGTATGAGTTGGGAAGGAAACAAAAATGACCATGTTTTTGCATGTGGGCTGAATGAATGAGGGTGGTGAGGCTCTGGCACAGGTTTCCCAGAGAGGTGGTGGACGCCCCAGCCCTGGAAACATTCAGGGTCAGGTTGGATGGGCTTCTGAGCAACCTGATCTAGTTGAAAATGTCCCTGCTCATTGCAGGGGGTTTGAAAGTACCTTTAAATCCAACCTAAACTATTCTATGATTCTGTGAAATGTAAGTAAGGCCCTTGGAAAAGGAGGTTGCCAAGGAGTTTGATATATACAGGAGAAGGACCAAAAAAAAAAAAACAAAAACCCACCCAGAAAGGCGAATAGGATACTCTAATTCAGAGTGGACAACATAGACCTGTTTTAGGACTGAGAGTGTACTTAAATCCTTTTGCTATGAATGAGATATAAACACCACTAAAACCCAAGTATGGTGTAAAATGTTTCTTGAGACCAGCCTTTAGTTATATAAAATACAATTACAAAGCCTGTGTTGTATTGACTGCTTCTGCAATTTTGTCTTTATAAGATATTTTTTCTATTTTTCTAATTGGGTGGCTTCTTTCAGGTTCCCAGAGTACTCTTCTTTGTGCTTCAGGGGAATTTTTGTTACTCTTCAAACAATAATTCTGAAAAAAACCCCACAGACACAAAAGAAAAGACAAAGTAGTGCATTACACCACCCCACAATGGGCCCAGCGTTGATGCTGGATTAACTGTCCCCAGTGAGTGGCTGAGCTCACATCTCCCTGCCTACCTGGAACTCAACTCTGCTCTGCCTCTGGGGTTATGATCTCATCTCTGAAGTGCTGCAAACACAGCTGAGCTCCACACTGCTCCCACTGTAGGTCCCACTTCTGGAAACGTGGAGCTGGGGATCTGGGCCACGCAGCAGGGAATCTCTGCAGGAGATGGAGGAGGTGGGACACCCCCATGCCACTCTTTCTCCCCACAGATGTTCACCACAGCTATCTTCAAAGGCCATGGACTTCTAAAGAGCTGCTCGCCTGGCTGTGCGTATATGGAGCCTGTATTTTTCCTTCTGCTTCTCCAGGTGGGAACTGAAAATCTTGCACCTATAAAGAAGCACCCATCATTGTCCTGACATCAGTTTGAGGTGGGCTAGTAGGTATTTCCAAGGGTCTCAGCTGTTTGCAGGTGAGAAGTAATTTTTTCTTGCACAAGCTTTCTTCTTGCATGGGCTTTTGGCTGCTTGTCACGTATGAGGCTGTGCTGGCAGGAAAGAGGAGACCCAACTGAATATTTCTGTCACACCAAGTATTTGTATTTGTTTCAGGGTGGCTCACTCTGTGCAGAGATGCCTGCTTCCAGCTTTGTGCACTCTGGCACGTGTTGCCTAATGGACCAGGGCTTCTCGCTCAGCACAGCTGACAAGGAGCATCTCTGTCACCACAGCTGACACACACTTGCTTTGTTAAATGACATAAGATGCTGCAGTGCAAGGCACAAGTTCTCCCATGCTTTCAGCTAAACAATTTACTGCTGTGCTGCATATACCCTTTGGTCCAGCGAGGGAGGACCCAGAGCTGGTCAGTGTCCCAGTGGCCAGCTCTGTCCCCCTTGACACTGCAAGGAGCAGTGGAAACTAAGTGACATGTTGACCTAATGCCCTGCCTGTAGGGCATTCATACCTAGCCTGCCTGACAGCTCCCAAACTGCCTGCTGAGGTTCAGCCCCATGAGGCATTTTCTGCTCTGCTACGTCCCAGCTTCTCCAGTCCTCCTGCCTCTGCACCATCCTGGGTGTAGGCAAAGCCAGGGCTTTGGAATGTGTGTTTCTGGCTGCAAACTGAGGTCTTTTCTGCACATCAAATGCTCATCAGCGACTGGGAACACAACCAAGGAGGTTGTGGAGGAGAGGAGGAAGCCACACTTGACCCCACAGAAACCACAAACCTAATTTCACACCGAAGGCAATTAGCCAGCACACATTTGGTTAGGGTGGCTGTGCTACTTTGTAAAACGTGACCTTGTAATGAGCTGGGGCGATGGATCTGAGTTTCAGCTAGTCTACACTGGCAAAGGAAAACTGCCAGCAGTTAAATATCATCCAGAGAGGGGAGCAGGGGTGAAGTGGCCCTCAAAACCATCTCTGTGCACTTCCAAGTCCTGCTTTGCACGACGGGATCACGTCCCTGACTCCATGCCATCACACTCAGCTCCCTCCTGAAGCCAGCAGGATGCTGCAGCATCCTTGGCTGGGCAGTGCTGACTCAGGCACAGAGTCCTGTGCCTGCTCCCTGGCACTGCTGTCCCCCAGATATTTCACCACTAGATATAAAAATCCCCGAGTCAGGCGCTTGCGGCTGCGCTCACTGCAAGGGGAAGCAGTAAAAGGCTGATTTACGCTCTGAACCACAAAAGCCTTTTATTGCTGCTTTTTTATTTGAATGTAACTCTCATGCCCTTAAATGTGTAATCCCTTTCTAACAGTCTTGTGGAAGTGGCAGGGCTCTCCACGGGTTAAAGGCGGTGTTTTTCAAGAGGATCAAGTTGTCCACCAGGTCCCCGAAGCCCCTCTTGCCCTGGCACAGCCAGTCCTCCTGTCAGCAAGGGAGGAGAGCAGCAGTAAGCTGTGTGCTGCTGGCATGGTCCACCACATACCCCCAGCCCTCAGCTTCCTGGGGTTGTTGGAGAGTTATTCCATCACTTGGAGTATTCCCGACAGTCTTGGGCACTGCTGCTCCTTCAGGGGAGAATAAAACCCCAAGCTGATCTAACAGCAACAGTGATTTAGGAATTTGACTCCAGGCATATACATTTAAAGACATTGCCCAATTATTTCTTCATTTTTATTAATTACTATTAGTCATTTATGGCCCCTTTTAAATTCAACTTCTCAAGAAAAATATTGCTTTAGGAAAAAAAAAAGAAAAAGGACAGTCATTAAATGAACAATTAGCAAAAGCTACAACTGCACCATAAAAGAGAAATACTAGGGGGGGAGGAATATTTCAAATTGACTGGGGCATGCAAGTTGTCGAATGGATGGAAAGCCAGCCGAGATCCTAAGGAAGGGGTGGATGCTGAAGAGGAGGAAAAGTACACAGTGTGGCATTGCTAGGTTCATTGTCAGGCCTGCTATTAATTACTTGCTTTATTAATGATTTGGAAGCAATAAGAATTAATTGCATCAGGAAATGATGGTACATTGGGAAGAGCTGAAAGCAGAGGTGAGAGCAGAAGAACAGCGAGAGAGGCAGGGAGGGCTGAGGGGTGTAAGAGGGATTTGATTTCATTCAGGCTCTGGGGGCTTTTCTACAGTTTCCCCTAGTAAAAGAGCACCAATAATGTCTGTGGACAAGGAAGGGGCCCAGAGAGGTCAGACAGGAGGGTTTGGTTTGAAGCAGGAGCCATGGAGACCCTTCCTGTCCCGCTCAAGAGAGGAACAGACTTGCCTGAGGTGTGAGGCAGGCAGAGTCCCTGCACAACAAAACTGATCAGCGTGGAGGGGCAGCTGACTTCAGAAGATCCCAGACTGTATAGCAGGGCGTGTTTAAAAGAAAACACTAAACAGACAATACATTGTTCTGCCTGCTTTGCAGCCTAACTGAAGGAAGGGGGAAAACAAAGCCCAGATTAATGTAGAAATTGCATTTAATGATCATCTTGAGAACCATAGGACAAAATCAAGGGAGTGAGCTGCCACAAGCTGTTAAGGAGGAAACCCTCTGCCCACCGGATGCCAGTGTTGCCCAACATTAAATCACATGGAGAAAACTCCTCTGGCAAGAGAATATTTGGTGCTTAAAGACACCCATCCCTCCAGCTACCCAAACACCACCACATTCAAAAGCGCACTTGCAACTTACTTGGCGGCACAGTTAAATCTATTTGCAACTCATCATTCTGGAGGTAGGCAAAGGTGACAAAGCCAAGGACGAAGCACTGTGTAAAATTTTACTTTTACTGAGCGGACCCTAAAGAAGCCCCAGCAGAGTTTTATTGTGCGGCTCCTCAGGCTGACAGTCTCCATTAACCATCGGTTAATACTGCAGCGTCAGAGCAAACCCAGAGTCGCAGCCCTGTGCTGTTAGGAAGTGTCCTTCATCCCAGCAAGAGACCTCGGGGTGAGAATATTTTGCATGAAGAGCCACTGGTGTAAGAGCTGAGCCTCTCAGTTCTGCATTGCAGTCAGCGTGTCGTGTGCCATCCCTCCACGCCACAAATAAATCTACAATTTCTCAGCTGGGAGCCTTTGGAAGCCACATACTAATACGCTTATATGGGAAGAGAGACCAGACAAGGTTCAAATAAAGAGCTCATGTAATAAATAAACATGAGGTCAGTATGGGAACAGCAATAAGTGCTTTGTATGACAAGATTTGCATAGCAAACATTCGTGATTAATGTATCGCCAGTGTCAGGTAAGGAGCCTTCACTATCGTTGTTCCATCTGCACCTTCCAATCTAGAAGGTACAGCAACTCCAGCCAGAGCAATTAGTCACTGTTTACTGAGAGGCAGATCGAGCAAAATTTTTCTAGTTCAATATTTGAGTGAGTTTCGCCTCACTGCCTCTCGCTGGATCCATTTCTGTGCCAGGCAGGGATCACGCTTCTTTCCTGGGGGTGGCAAGGAGGGATGATCAGCACTGCTGCTAATCTGCTCAGCAAGGGCACGGGCTGGCTCCCAGCCTCTCCTGCTGGCCTCTCCCAGGTTCTCAGGGAAAACCTAAGAAAGAGGCTGAAGACCCTGCGTGTCAGGGCTCTGCTTCCTGGCTGCCTTTTCTTCCACCTGCCTCTGCCTGCCAGTTTCACAGCCCCTTGGCCACTGCTGATGCAGGCAGTGGGATGCAGCACCGAGGGCAACAACACCTCCTTCTTTACAGCCTCCTTTCTGCAAAGCTTGCCTAATAAGTTCCAGCTAAACTTCCAGCTCTTTGGCCTAAGAGCAATAATCCCACTTGAAATACTATCTCGATTTGGGGATATTTTTTCTTTTTTTAAAGGCATGCAAGCCTCTGGCTTCCCTGGAAAGGAGGCAGTTTGGCTGGAGGGACTGGGGTTATTCCTCTGAGGGTAATTCCTATGGGAAAACCATTCCACTGGAGCTGGTTGGAGGCAAGGCACTTGCTGCTGCAGTCTTCCACCTTAACTGCTTGGGGGTGCCAGGTAAAGCTGTTAGCATCACTGGGAAGTCACTCCAGGAAGTACTGCACAGAACAGCTGGAAAGGCACAAGGAGAGCTCCTTCATGTTGGTGAGATCCAGAAGGGCTTGATCGGGGTAAACAGGCTTCAAAACCTAGGGCATGCATTTTGGGGACATGAAGGGAAGAATTGAAGGTGTTTTTCTCTTGTGCACTCGCAGAATTCGGTTACGACTGAGGATGCCAATCAACTCCTCAAGAGTGATAAATGGCAGCTGCTGTCTCCCACCTGTGATGAGATGTTGAGATTTTCAGTCTCTGTCTTTCCAAGACAAGTCTTGATGAGACACTGTTCCCCAGGATGTGTTAGGGAGGACGTCTGTGTTGGCATTTCACCCTTGTGCTGGGGTGGGTGGTGGTGAGGGGGCGTACTGGGCTGAGGCTTGCAGGACCCTGGCACTGCAGCTGTCCCCAGAGCATCCAGGAGGTGCCACCAGGCTGGCAGGGGACATCAGGATGTGGAGTACATTGGTGGGAGATGCCATTACACCTCTGTGCCCCTCAGAGCTGCAGGCAGGCTGGAAAACGTGGCTCACATCAGCTACTTCAGTGCCAAGTCCACCCAGCAGCACAGTGAAGAGTGACCTCCGAGGTGCTGCCGACCCGCCCTGCTGCCCTGAGAACCTCTCTCCCTCCTTTGCAGCCCTAAAGCTCCGCACCCGCCTGGGCCGGGCGCGGGGAAGCCCTGCACTCACCTTGGTGCTGAGAGCGCAGCTGGGGCGCTCATCGCTGCCTGAGCGGCTGCGAGCGTTCAGGGGAGCAGCAGGGCGTTTGGGGCAGAACCCAGGGAGGAGGGTGACACGCCCTGTCCTTGTCCGGATCAGGTGCACGGGGGTTCCCGCAGCGGAGAGGAGCCGGGCGCGCTTCACGCTGCCCGGGATGCTCTTCACGTTTCAGCCGGGACGGGCTCAGCCGGGGCCGCTGCTGTTCCGGGGGCTGCGTCGGGAGGTGTCCCCGGTCCGCCCGGGGCAGGGTCGCTGCCGGTGCCGCCTCCCGGCCCGGCTCCCTCGGGGCCGCTCCCGCCGGTGTTTCCGCGGTCGCCCCTCAGGCCGGGCCGGGGGTGCCCGGGGCGCGCGCCGGCCCCTCAGGGGAGGAAAGGCGGGAGCGGCGCGCGGGCACGGGCGCGCGCGGCTCCGCAGGTGCGGAGCGTCCGTGAGGGGAGGGGGGGGCGCGGGGCGGTCCCGCGCGGCGCCGGCCCCGCCCGCCCCTCGCTCCGTCCCGCCGCCCCTCCTCCCTCACCCCCTCGCTCCTTCCTCCTCCTCCTCGTCCTCGCCGCGCTCCCGCCGCTCCGCTCCGCGCGTGCTGGAGGCGCAGCGCCTCCGCGGCCCGGCAGCGGCACGGCCGCCCCGTCGGCGCCGCGGCGCGCCGCGGAGGGGCGGCGCTGGGGGCGGCGGCTCGGCGGCGGCAACTTTTGGGAGCCGGCGGCGGCAGCGCGGAGGCTGCGCGGGGATGGCGGCGGCCGGGCAGCGGCGGCGCTGAGGCAGCGGCGGCGGCGCGATGCCGGCGGCGGCCGGGGGGCTGCTGTGGTGGAGCTGCTGCGTGCTGGCGGCGGCGGCCGGGGCCCCGCGGGCCGCCGCGGCGGCGCAGGCAGGTGGGTGAGCGGCCGCGTCCGTCGGCAGCGGCCGGAGCGGCGCCTTCCCGACAACTTCTCCGCGTCCCGGTGCCCGGCGCGGGGTGCGGGAGTTCGCGCGGGTCCCGCGGAGCGGCGGCGGCCAGAGGGCGACAGTCCCCCGCGGGAAGCGGAGCGGGGCCGGCGGTCGCGGATCGCCCGCGCAGCAGCGCTCCGTGTCCCGCTCGCTGTCCCCGCCCGGCCCCGGGGCCGTCCTCGCCGCCGGGCGCCGTTCGTGTCCCCGCAGGTGCCGCCGCCGTCCCGACGGGGCCGCGCTCCCGAACTTGGCATCGCGGAGCGCCGGGCGGCCGCGGCAGCGCTCGTGCCCCGCACACCCGCGCGTCCGGCCCCGCGGCGCAAACACCGCGCCGAGCTGGCTGCGCTCGGGGGAGGGCGAGCGGGCGGCTTGCAAGTTAACGCTGGAATCGGCGCTTCTTCCTCCGGCAGGGTCTGCCCGGAATTTTTAACTTTCTGGAGGGAAACTTGCAGCGTTGGCTTGAATTTTGTTTTCCTCTTGGCATCCGAGCAGCGCTTTCTGCCGCCGTAGTACGAGATGTGCCGGCTCAGTCGCCCGGGAGGGCATGGGGAATCGCCCCCCGCTGCATCGCCCCTTTGCTGTGAATAAAACATTAAAAGGAAATTTCTTCAGTCTTTGTAACTTCGCTTTTTTTCTTTTTCTTTTTTTTTTTTTTTTCTCCCTTCCCTCCCTGGTGATGCAAAATTTATGCTGTTTGGGCGGCATTGGTGCAACAGCTCCTCGTTCTCACAATTTAGTTTATATTTTGGGGCTTTATGTAACAGAGAGAAGGAAGGATACGTTTGGTGAGAAGCGAAAGGAGCGTGTCCTGGCTTTGCCTGTCTGGGCTTTGAAGGCGGTTTTTGATCTTGGGACACAGTTTACTTTTTCGCTGTGCGATTGTTTCCTAACCCTCGAAATCGGGAGGGGTGAAATGCTGGGCTGCTGCTTTCTTTTGTATATTCTCTTCCTGCGGTTTGAGTCGGTAAATCCCCGCTGAAGAAGAATGGCAATCCTCGTTTCACAGGCGCTGCTTCTCTGTATCTTTTTGCCTGACTCCCTGTTTACAGGCAGCCTGTTCGCCTCACTTGATACTTTTCTGTCTCACACTTTTCCCGTAGCCTGCCCCGGTTTTGGGCAGCAGCCGTCCCCACTGGGATGCTCCCGTGCTCTCCAGCAATCCTTCCCACCGCTCGGACCGGGCTGTTGGCGTGGACGATCACAAAGACCCTTCATTGCTGGATTTATACCCCAGTGAAAATAAAAAGCATCGGTCCAGGGTTGCTCACCTGCCTTCCTGTCTTCTCTGGGGAAGCCTCCTGGATCTGTGCTGCTGAAAAGCCTCTGTGCCCTGCACTGTGCAAAACAGAAAATCCGTTTATTAAAATAGAGGGGTTGGAGTGACATTTCCTATTTGGAGGGGTTTAGGCACTGCTGTGGGCACTGGCAGCTAGTAATGATTGAGCCTTGCTACTTGGTGCTTGCTGGAATAGCAGGGCAGACTGGACAGGGAGCCATGATTTGCAAGTATTTAGGACCCCCCAGAATTTGGGCTCTCTTGGCTTTTGGGGGGCAATAAGATGGGGCTCTGGCCACTGCCCTCATTTTCAGTGCATTGAGAGAGATGGTGATGCCGTTGCTCGTGCAAGCCGTTGCTCTTGGCCAAACTTTTGATTTCATTATCCTGTGTGTAAATATGTAAACAGGTTGGGGTTTTCTAATTTCTTCTGTCTCCGTGCTTGGGCATATAATGTTTGCAGTGCACAGCTCAGTCGGGGTCACGTGAGCCAAACAGCTTGGGCTGTTACCTGGAAGCTGGTGAGTCTTTGTTCTGCTTGAAAATAGCTGATAAATTAACTCCATTTTCTGATATGTGGGGTTGGTGAGTTGTTAAATAATTACAGCCAAATTAACTTAGTCCTGTTTGAAGTATTCAGTATTCATATTCAGCTGTTCTGAGAATAATTGTACTTCAAATATTTTTTCTTTTTTTTTTCTTTTTTTAAATTTCCTTTTTTAAAAAAAAATCTTTTTTTTTTTAATTTTTTTATTTCCCAGTGAGAAGCATGTTCAGGCTGATGTATGGGCAGTCTTTAATTTCATGCCTTTACTCCTCTCTGGGCCGTGTCGGATGGGACGTGCTACATGCCTTCAGAGAGATGCAGCTCCTCTCCTTTGCTACAGCCCTCCTTGGCACCTCTCCCGTTTATTCCGCCACGATGTCTATTTGATGGTTAAAATTAGGCTGAGCTCTGAGTGCCTTTCCAAAGGCACGATAAATATTGCCTGGGAGTTTCAGCCCGTCACTGCCATCAGAGAGCCTGGCCCCTGCACGAGGGTTCTCTGTCGTTCTGTCTGGGCCTTCTCACCAAAGTGGAGTGGGCGCTGCTGTGGGCTCAGCACCGTCCTGGGTGTGCCTCCCGTGCCACACAGCCCTTCAGGTGTCTGCAGGGACATCTCTGCATGGTGGGCAGGGCAGCCTGCTGCTGTCCCTGCCTGTCCCCTGAGAGCACTGCGAGCCAGCACTGCTGCAGGGCACAGGAGCCTGGTTCTGCTGCCGCTCTTGGGGCAGCTCCAGCACGGGGCTGCACCACGCAGGCTCCGTGCCTGCACCTGCCCTGCTGAGAGCGGCACTGCTGCGTGCCCCAGTGACTGAGTTGTGACTTCGCTTTTAAAAAAAGAGATGGTAATTGATGTTTATGTGTATGGAATTTGGCACTAGGAGCTGTGCTTGTAATTAACATGAAAACAGTAATAATAAGGACCTGAAATACATGCCTTATGAGTAAAGCAAATGAGACTTGGCAGTAGCAGCTCATGAAGAGGAAAGCCTTTTTTCCTGAGCCTGCACGGTAGTGAAGTAGGATGGGAAGCAGAGGAAGGCATGTTTGGTCCATGGTAACAAAGGGCCCAGCACCCTGTGGGTGCTCCTGGCTGAGCCCCAAGTGCTGCATTGCGCTCCTGACCGTAATGTCAAGTTGTTCTGAAATGTGCCCTCAGTATTGTAGCAGGCCATTAGCCACACACCTTAATGGAATTAAATGTTTTATTCTAGATTTCAGGAGGTTTTAGTTTGGTTGGGTTTTCTGTTGTTTTGTTTTTCAATTAAATTTAAGCAAACCGCCGCACGTTGGCTCGTCCTGTATCTGGAAGCGCAGCTGTGATCCAGAGCGTGCACATCTTCCAAAGGCTTTTTGGAGAAACACCTTTCCGTGGGTCACAGGCCAGAGCTGGGGAGCTGCTGGGCTGGGAGCTGAGCCTGTCCTGGGCGGTGATGGTGGGGCTTGCAGAGTGGCCAGCCCGCAGCCCGGCTCTGTGAGCATCTCTAGGTGGCAGCAGCCCCCAGGAGCTCCCGGCATGAGGACGAACCGCCCGGAGCCGGGGCTGCAATTTCCCAGCTTCTGGTCCTCCTGCTCAGCTCTCCTCCACACCCCTCTCCCAGGCCGAGGAGCAGCTTTTTACGTGGCTAATGGGGAATGAGCCGTCCCTGGAGTCCTGTCCCTACCTCTTGTGCCCCTGCATGTGTGACAGGGGAGGTCTAAGAGCACACTGGGAGAGTGACCCAAACACTGAAGTGCTTAATATGAGCAACCAGACGAGCTCAGGTGACTTATTTTGGACGACTTGTTAAGATAAACAGTAAGTCAATACAAGACCAGTGACTGGGAGCTGAAGGTGAATGAGTTCAAACTGGGAATAAAGTGTAGGAATTGTTGTGATAAGCTAGGAAAGAAAATAGAAGGTAGTCACTCAGCAGCACGGGCTCAGATGAGATGGTCCTTCTGCAGTACGTATACTTGCTCAAAAAGATGATGTAGCCCATAGGTTTCATTTATTTTTTGTGGTTTTTGCAAGACAACAACCCCTTTCTGATTTCCTTAGGACAGTAAGGGTGAGCCAGTACGTGGTGGGGCAATAGGATTGTCCCCTGGAAGCTTCTGAACTTTGTGTCCTGCCTGTGCAGATTGGGGTTTAGTGCCGTGCAACCAGGCATTTATGCTCTTAAGTGATGGCAGCTCCGTGGAAACAGCTAAGCCAGGTCCGTCTTGTGGGCTCTACACACTCTCAATGCACTGAGGCAATTTTGCTGGGAAAGGAGAGGGGGTTTGTTCCTGGGATTTGGTTTTTCCTGTGGCAGGAGCGAAGGCAGGTGAGTGCAGCTGGGCAGTTTCCTGTGAATCACTTGTGCGCTGACAAGTCCTCAGGGTGTGCAACAGGCTCTGATTTTCACTGACTTGAAGGTTTTGCTTTTGCAGACAAGTGCAGGCTGCTGGTGCATTTTATGTGTGCCCACGTAGCCAAAGCTGAATTATCCCATGGGAGTACGCAATCTGCCAGAGAGATTCATCATTTCAGCAACTTTAGTTAATGTTTGTTTAGCGACTTCTTGTTTTGGAGGAGCAGTTTAAGCCGTGCTCGGTGGCAGTTCCCTTGTGATGAGCTGTGTGTCCACGTGATAAATGGACTCATTTCTACTGTCCGCTACCTCTGCTGGGCATATGGGCACATGCCAAGCCTCCTGAAGTCTTTGAACAGCTGCTGCTATATATATCTCCTTATTTTCTTTTTTTCCCGGCCTGCCAGGGGAACTTGTCCTTCTTCCCACTTTGTATAAAGGGTGTGCAAAGTCCAGGGCAGATGAATATTTGCTCGTGCATCAGTGATTCGTGAGGGTCTGATGTTGGCTGATGTTTGGGCAGCAAAGTCAATAATTCAAACTGCAGGAGCACATACTGGTCACACCATAAGCTTGTGCTGAATACCAAGAATATAAATATATATGAGGAATAGAAATTCATACTGCAAAGAGTATCAAAAAATATTTTTCTTTCATGGTGGTAACTGCTTTTTGTTTCTATGCCTGAAGCCTGTAAACTCTAGCTTCTGACAAAGGAGGTAGGAAAATCAAGTAAATAAAAGGGAAAGTAAGCCTCAGACTTTCAGCAGATACAGTTATTTTTGAACT